ATCAAAATACATTAGTTTCCATTGAAGCCAATAAATCCAGTGGAGTATATTTAAATAGATCTCACTATTATTAGTGTAATTTTATTTAGAAAAGTTTTTAGAATTGTGAGATGAAAGCTTTGCTTTTAAATACCAAACTAGAATAGGAACTTAGATAATTAAAGCTTAGTTGGAAAAGTACATATTTACTTAGGCACGCTTGGGAAAATTTAAGTAATAAAATCTGTATAGTTTGAGAGATTTGGTGATCACGTTAGGGCATCACACAGTTTTTCTATCTGTTTCTATTTTGTTTTTTAAAGAAAAGATAGTTTAAGAAAATAAATTACATCAGTTTGTAAAAGCTTCAAGAGACTATGTAGTGTTTATCATTCTTAGTTGGGTAAGCCTGAAGAAGCATGTTCATTAAAATTCCCTGGGCTTTATTATTTGCAATCATAGGCATAAGGTTAACAGTACAGACTGATGTTATTTTGTTGATGGTGTGTATGTTTCAGTTTTTGATATTTTGTTTTGAAGTTCTAATGCAAGAGGCCAGCTTTTCACATTACCTATTAAGATATTAAGGGCTTTCTTTTTTTTTTTAATGATTCCTCTTAGTGCCCCCAATTACCTCCAAATTGAGGGCCTATTCTGAATGTAGTGGTTTTTATGGTTGGTAGTTTAAATTCTTGCTCTCAATCTAGTTTACCACTTCAACTATTAGAATATAAGGTGAAAGAGAAGTCGGTAACTGTACTTTTTTTTTGCCTTAGCTATTGTTCTTAACTATTTGGTCCCACTAACCAGGACTTACTTAGTGGGATAGTGTTGGGAGATTTATCACTTTCCACACTGTCTTCTGGGTTTTTTTTTTTTTAAAGGTACGTGACTTACCTGACCTGCAAGATTTGGAGGAAAGAAGCAGTTTCTAGTTCATCTTTGTATATCTGTGGTGCTTAATAAGTATTTCTCAAAGAGATGGATTCGTTGTTTGTAGTCTTTGTATCTCTGGAAAAGAAGGGCTCATTCAAATTTAAGCCTGTGTGAAAATGAACCCTTGGGCTTGAGATCTCTCATTTGAGTACCAGAGAGGTACCTTAGAGTGAGTACTTCAGAGGACCTTTTACGATATCTGGAGGCATAAAGGAGGTGTGTTTTTTGTTGTTGTTGTTGTTGTTGTTTTGTTTTTTTAAAGTATGAGGCTCTACCTAGTGTAATAATTAAAGCTCAAGACTTTGTGCTCTTACTTGGTGATCTTGAAAAGATTGCCTTAGGATTTGATTGGATTTCATAGGACCTAAAGACCTGAATGGATTCCTGAGTCTGTCATCTCTCTAAATGCTAAGTGTTGGGTAAATTCACAGCATTTTCTGTTTTGGATGTCATATGCTAGGTATAAAGGTTAGATTCAAATAAAAAAAGTATTGAATTCTCTTCTGAAGGTAATGTGTGATATTTACTACAGGGGGAAAAAAGAGATAAGACATGGTTCCTGCTTTCAAGACGTTTGCAGTCTCTTTTATGTTGATCTAGTAACTGAAGGTATGGTAGTATCACCTGAAATTAAAAATTAAAAAGCCTCTCAGAAGGTTTCAGTTGACAGTTGAACTTTTTATACAGCATATCCTGTTTGTAAGATGTCTGCTTGCTATTTTTTCTTTGATAGTATATTTTGAATTAAATTTATACATTTTTATTAATTGAATAAAATGTAATTATGTTGACATTATATGTACATATATACAGAGTGAGTTTGCACACGTACGAACATGCACAGTTAGACTACCCTGTCCTGTGCAGCTCGTCTACTGAGCATCCCCTGCCCCCAGCAGGAGCAGATACATGCTACCTGGGAAAAATGAACAACAAAGACTGGGAACATGGAAAACACTGAGTATGTGGCGAAAGATGAACTAAAACAAGGGCATTAAGTGAAAATGTAAATACTAATCAGTGTGACTGCAAGCGTGCTCATTTCACTCAGCTCCCAAAATGCTGGCAGACACACTTACTACAAATGCTATCTCTTTTTCACACACCCTTTCCTCAATGCCGTAGGATATTAGAAGGATTCCTAGAATATTGTGACGATTTCTCTCTGGAGATAACTGACCGCCCAAAGGAAATAAGGCCCCAGTGAAGTGATCAGGGGGAATCATAATCACCTTACTCTATTGCTAAGTAGTTGCCAGGTGCTCTTTGTCTATACTGTCCTATAGTTTGCTTTTTAGGATCTTAAATGTAAATGGACAGCCAAGATTACCAGACATTGTGGAAAATCTCTAACATGAAAGATTTTGAAACAAATAGGAAAAAGAACTCAAAGGATATAGAGACAGGGAACAGAGCAAAGCATCTCATACGTATATACATACACACATGAACAGACACAAGACCTTGTCCTTGGAAAGAGAAGATACTATATTTATGGAAAAAGAATACTCAGAAATTAAGAAGGAATTCTTGAGTTTTTTTAATTTAAATTAACACTCCCAGAAAGTGGGGGAGAAAAGACAAGCTGGTGGATAATAGGACAAAAGGAAAACTTACAGAATCAATCCAGGATGTCCAAACTTACAGAATCAATCCAGGATGTCCAACTTCTATTTAATAGATGTTCTAGGAAGTGAATACTAGAGGAAGAACATACAGGAATAATTTAAGCAAAATTTCCAGAACTAAGAAATACGAGTTTCTGGATTGAAAGCCTCACTGAATACCCAGCACATGAATGAAAAAGGTTCACACAAAGGCACATACATTATTGTGTGTGTGCACATACATGTATACATACATCATCATCTTTAGAATATTGAGGATGAAAAGAGGATCCTAGAAGCTGAAGTTGGGAGCAGGTAGAGGAGTGTGGAATGGGTCCTGTACTAAGTATTAAGAATCTGAATGGTCTCAGAATCTCTAGGAGCAACATCAGAAACTAGAAGATGGCATAGCAATGCCTTCGAAACTCGGAGGGAATGTTAATTTTCTTCAGCCGAAATTGTGTGGAACGTGTTAGGGGAAATAACAACTTTGCAAAGTTGTTTTGTTTTGTTTTCTTTTCCTTTGTTTTGTTTTACCTCTTCTTCTCTCTTCCTCAAGAAGCTGCTGGAGGATGGGTTCCAGCAAAGTAAGAAAGAAGATGACAAGGATTCCCAGGAAGTTTTTGGACAGAAATATAGGATGACTGGAAAACAGTCAGTGTCCAAGAATATAGAAGAAATACCTGATTTCTTTAACCGTGTTGAAAGGAGTGTTATGGTAGTGCAAGAGACTTTATAGATTATTTGTGATAGGTCCATAGAAATCCAATGGAACAAACAAAAAGTGAGATAAGTAATAACACCTTGATAAATAAAGATGGCATAACCATTAAAGTTGTAGGTTTTAGACACTAGAGCAGGAGCACCATTCATTTTATGACCCCATCTCCACCCATGGGAGGCTGATGAGTTTTGTGTATTGAATTCGAAGAGCAGAGAATCGGGGAAAAGAAGAGTCTCCCATTGAAAAACCTGTGTAATAAGAGAGGTGGGACCAGAAGCAGACTCAGAACTTTGTTGAGAATATTGGGGGTATAGTAGTCAAGTGAGAGAGACTAGAGTACCCAAATCATCGTTGCTATCCAGTTATTCCAGATGAAAGATACTACTTTACATTTCCCAGGGCATCATTTTTAAGTGTCGGCTTTCAGATTAAATACTAGTTGAGAGTGGGGAGAAGACCCAGAAGGAATACTTAAACTATAATAAATGTGTACTTTGTATATCCATTATCAATATGCCTAATATCCCTGATAGCTTTACCCTAAGCTTTCTTGTTTAATGGTTAATTTTAGTGTCACAAATAAAGTTTGTGTTAATATTATTGGCTCTCTGTGTCTGGGAAATTTGATGGCTGTGCGTCCTCTAGAGCTGTTGCTATCCAGTAGCCACTAGCCACGTTTGGCCATTTAAATTTAAATTCAGTGCGACAAAATTAAAAACTCAGTTTTTCATTCATACTAGCTGTATTTCAGGTGCTCATTAGCAACATGTGACTAGTGACTATGGAGCAGTGCAGAGACAGAACATTTTTATTACCCGGAGAGTCCAGAGTCTAACTTGTGCTTTACTGGCAGACAGCCTTGGGCTAGAAGAATGAGTTGTCATCCAGTGCCCGGCGTGTCATCTTGCTCTGTACTGTAGGGTTACATAGAACAGTCTGGGTTTAGAAAGACTGAGTGAGTCTGGTAATTCAGTAGCATCTTTTACACCTGTTGATGGGCTGCATGGTAGAGTGTGGTTAAGAGTATGTATGAGCTGTAGAGGCAGAGCAGCTCTTCCAGCGGGGGGCTTGCTGGCTGTGTGACTTTGGGCAAGTCACTTACCTTTTCTGAAGCTGATTTCGCATCTGTAAAGCAGGGATGAAATAATGACTTCCTTGGGTTGTTAGGAGACTTACATTAGGTAAAATAAATGGAATAGAAATACCAAATACTTAGCGTAGTGCCAGGCACATAGTAGTAAGCATTTGCTCAGTGGCAGTTTCTGAAATATTTGTATTAATGATAATGGTCATAGTTATTCTGATGTCAGTTCCTCTTTTCCTGATGTGTGCTGCTTTTTTTCCTTTTTAAAATTATTTGTCTTTGCTGGATTTTTATTTCCCTTTATTTCTTTCTCTCAATGTATTTTTCTTCTTACTTAAGGGTCTTGCGTAACCCTGTTAATGATATCCAAGAATAAAGAATTTTCTGTCCCCTAATTGCTGTGTGCAGTGAGCAGTGGGGAATAATTGTTATCAAAATGAAACTAAACCCTGTAAGGATTCACAGAATCACACTACTTTTGATGAAAATTCATGAGGAAGCCCTTACTTATGGGTGCGAGGGGCAGTGTGGAAATAATTGGCCGGTAGCTATGGGGCCCTTGAACCTCACCTCGTTAGTATCCACCTGTGACTGACTGATCAGCACACTATAACATCATGAGAAAGATGGCAGGAAGATCCCTGGTAATTATACATTTTTACTTACATAGCAACAAAGGAGAGAGCGTGAAGCTAGAAGGCAGCAGGAACGTGAACAGCGAAGGAGAGAACAAGAAGAAAAGAGGCGTCTAGAGGAGTTGGAGAGAAGGCGCAAAGAAGAAGAGGAGAGGAGACGGGCAGAAGAAGAAAAGAGGAGAGTTGAAAGAGAACAGGTTAGTTCACAGAGAACATACCAGGCATACATTTGTGAAGTTTGTTACTTTGCAGAGCTGGGGGATTTTTAGAAAGTACACACACATGTGATGCATACACACATGTACACACATACACATATACTTAGAACTTCAGATGTATGAACGTGGTGAAACACAATTGGAATGACACCAATAAATTGGGTCTCTTATCCTAAAAAGGGTTTATAAATCATTATACTTTAGAAACCTCTTGAAACCAGTTAAGTGGTCTCTAAATAGTATAATATCTGAAAGATGTCTGCGTGTATCTTCTCAGATTTGGCTTAAATGCTGTGGACCCCAAATATATGGGTGATAATTAACTTTTTTTAAAAAAAAAGAAATTAAAAACTAACAGTAAGAAATTTCTTATGAGAAATATTTGAATATCCAGTGGCTAAGTGAATATTGTAATATATATCAGCATGTAATTCCGTATATACACGGTGCATTTAAAAAACTAACGTTGATGAGTTCAACCAAAAAAGATCAGGTTTGAATAATATTTGCAGCATTTTATTAATACCAGATATGATTTTATTTAGAATTTTTTTTGTTTGTTTCCTGAACCACCTGTGCAAACAAAAATTGCCCTTAGCCTCTTTGCCTTTCTTGTCTTTGATCTCTTTGTTATGAGCTTGGAATAAAGAAAAAATGATACATGAGGACCAATTTAAATAACACTTGGTATCTGTATTTTAAACTTATAAACCATGGTGTTAACTTGTGACTGTTCAGCTGCCATCCTTTATGCTAAGCATGTGTCTTGGGCTTTCTGAGCCTTGGGTCTGCGTGCTCCTCAGTGTTTTCCTGGGAATTTCAGTGACGCTTTTTGTGCTACCTAATTGACATTGTCAACCATTTAACTGTGTAGTGCGTGTGCTTTAACATTCCACTTTTGTTTATACCTGGGGGCTGCAAAGAGGAAAACACTCAAGCTTTTAAGAATTAAATCACCTAGAAATAATGATTACAGTTCGATTGTGAGAGGAGGGTGTGATGGCAGCAATTCATCTTTAATGCTCTAGTGGCAGTCATTAAATTTTGTGAATAGCAAATATTTGGCACCACTTTAAAAAAAATTATAAAATCGGTTTTATTCTGTTTTCCCCATTCTATTGTGAAATAGTAATTCCCATGTTAACAGTGCTGTTGGACACACTTCATTTCAGCCTAAGCGTTTATGTTTGTGTAGATGTGTGTTGTGTTGCGTATGTTCATTGACTATGTGTTAGGAGCTTTGTGGTTTGGAGAGGACATGATTTTTCCAGTTGTCCCTGTGGTTTGAGGGCAGAAAACAAATGAGTGTACTGATTTGATCTTTCAAATGACAATTTAATTCTGTTTTGTTCAAAAACGAAAATGAGTTGGAAGTCAGGTTCCTTTGCTCAGTCACATGTGGGTCAAGGCCACACAAGCCTTGCTAGGAGAGGTATTGCTGTAGCATATACCAGGGGGAGGGTCAGGCGTAGATACAAGAGATGTAGATCCCGGGTCAGAACCAGATATGTTAGTCAGTGGCCTTCTGAGTAAGTCCACCTCCCCCTTCCCCGGCCACTGCCCACACCCCCTCAGTTGGCTTTTTTGGCTCAGTTTTCTTTGTAAAGTAAGGATTTCTTAGGCTTTTTATATGCTGTAATTTCAGTATTCTCCCAGAGATATTGGTTAACTAAAACTTCTGTTCAGCCCATATTGATGGCCATTTTTGTTTCAAGGTGTGTACCATGACACAAGGGGATGGTCAGCAGCAGACACTCTGAAAAGGGAATCTGAATTTCAGGATAAAATGTCTCCTCAGAGTCCTTCTTAGTCTATTCCTCTTCTAGAAAAAAAGGAAGCCTCTGTTGCTTGTAAAATGTTTTATGCTTTTCAAGGTTATTTCATATTGATCTCATGTCTGAACCTTAAAAAAATTCCTGAGGGTTGGGAGAGGAGATTTTGGATGCTCATTTCTCAAATGAGGAGACTGAGAAAAGGGGAGCTTTAGAGCATGCTAGAGATCATAGAGCCAGTTCTCAATGCAACAGGGACTGAGGCCTCCTGGTATCCCTGTCCTTTATAATGTGCATGCAGCTTCGAAGTAGGCTTTTACCCCTCTCCATAACATATTTGGGATTTGGGATGTGTTTACCTGTGTTCATTGTTATGAAGACTAATCATTCTCTTCTCACTGAAAAGAAAAACCACCCCATCTCCACCTCCTCCTCTCTTTCTCTCCCCTTGTCCTTGTCTGTCTCTGTCTGTCTCTGTCACACACACACAAGCTCATCATGGAGCCTGGGTCTGTTTGTTTGAGGAGAGTTGCCCAAGTCTGGAATATAGTCATTCCAGGTGGCTTTGGAATTGTCAGTGAAAGCATGAATCATGTTTGTTGTATTTTAATATTATGCAGGTTTTGGTTTTAGGTTTCAAAAATTGGTGATCTGTGCTTGTTATAAATAATGACTTAATAAGCAGATGTTGACTAATCAGAACCCTCTGATCCTTTTAAATTAAACTCTTGATTTCTCTGGGGTTTACCAACCTTAAGAGGCACAGCATACCCTTTTAAAATTCTGCATTTGTATGCAACAGCTGTGTTCTAACAAATACTTTTAGATCCCTTCATGTATATCATGGGAATACATATCATCATTTGTTAGGCTCCTTAGGTCTTACTGGCCAATTTGAAGTTCTTGGAGAAATCTTTAGCAATAGATTTTCTTTAGGTATTTACCACTAAGCGAATTGTCACTAAAGATGATTGGAGCAAATGGTTCTTGGTGCTCCATTCAGGTGGTTCCGATGCTTTTCTTTGGGATAAATTGATTGCTGGGTGATTTCTGTGTGACAGGAGTATATCAGGCGACAGCTAGAAGAGGAGCAGCGGCACTTGGAAGTCCTCCAGCAGCAGCTGCTCCAGGAGCAGGCCATGTTACTGGTAAAGCCCCGCCTCTGTTCCATTCTGTAGCATCAGGGCTCCTTCATCCTTCCTCTAAGTCGAGCAAGCTGTGGTGGTCACCAGACCATTTTGGTTTTGCTGTGGGCAGCCAGGCTGAAATAGAGATGCCCATTTTATGGTCCTATTGGTGGCACATTGCAACGTGGTCTTTATTTATTTATTTCTCTTTAATAAATTAATTGTTCTTGTTTGGTAGATCAACAAGGTTTTAAACAGAACTTGGCACTCAGTGAACATACTAGAATGCTGAGGGCAGTAGGTTGAAAGTACATGCCACAGAATTTTTACCTAGTCTCTATACCACTAAAACTCACATTTAATTGAATTATCTCTTACTCTGTCCAATGATAATTATGGTTAGCAACAGCTGTGAGATTTTTCCACAGGTAATGTGCTATTTAAAATCCCAGCTATTTTGCTTTCTTACAAAACACCGAGGGAAAATGTATGGTCACTTTTTTAAAAAGCCAAACAAATCCAGAGAAGAGGCGAGCTCTCCAGTGTCCCATAGATTTAGTGTTATCCTCTCCCTCTCCAAGGAGTGCCGATGGCGGGAGATGGAGGAGCACCGGCAGGCAGAGAGGCTCCAGAGGCAGTTGCAACAAGAACAAGCATATCTCCTGTCTCTACAGCATGACCATAGGAGGCCGCACCCGCAGCACTCACAGCAGCCGCCACCACCGCAGCAGGAAAGGAGCAAGCCAAGCTTCCATGCTCCCGAGCCCAAAGTCCACTACGAGCCTGCCGACCGAGCGCGAGAGGTATCCTTTCCTTTGTCACTTAGACATTGCTCTGGAAAGCAGTACAATGACTCTTCAGAACTGTGTCATGTGAATTCTAGAATGGGCCGTAGAGGTTAGCTAATTATCTAGTTTCTTTGTTTTCTAACTAGGAAATTGAGTTTCAGAGGAGTGGAGGGCCTTGCCCAAGGTTTCATATCCAGTCAGTGCTTTTTCCATAAAGGACCAGAGTGCCTCAGTTAACATATCCCAGAAGAACTTGAAACTGAACTAAACAAAAAGAAGATTACATGACACAGTCATTCTTAAAAATGTGGATGAAAGAGTGGTCTGATGAACTATTCTCCCAAGCTAAATAGTGCCTGTGGCTTAACTTTCTGACTTTGCAGATGTCGAGATGCACTGCTAGATTGGTGTGTTAGGGCTAGCCAGAGCCTCAGAGTAGACTGCAGCAGGGACTGCTTGGGGGTGCGAGGTGGGCGACAGGTGTGGCTCCAGAGGTACTGAATCCTGGCCCACAGGTGGCGGCAGCCTTCTATTGTGTCTGCCTTCACAGGCAGTAGCTTCTAGAAACAAGTGTTCTGTTTGTTCTGGAGTGCTTTTATTTTTGGTGGAGTGAAAAGCATTCTGGATTTCTGATGATAGTTTTTTCGTCTGTTAGTTTAGTTGCTTATGACAGATTACATTTTTCTACTTTATCATCATATACAGTCTTAGAATTCTGAGCAAGGAGGAGAGCTTAGAGACTGCCCTGCTAATTTTTATCTTCACAAATATTTTCTTTTTCCTGAATCTAATCCTAGCACTGCTTTATCTACCTTCTTTTTTTCCAGCTGCCCCCCTCTTTTCTTGTGGCAGAAGAAAACAGAAAACTTATCTTTAGATTTCTTCCACTTTTAGACTTTCTTTGATATTTCTGCTTTTCCCCTACTAACACTGAGTTATGTCTTCTAATTCTCTGATGCAGGTGGAAGATAGATTTAGGAAAACTAACCACAGCTCCCCTGAAGCGCAGTCTAAGCAGACAGGCAGAGTATTGGAGCCACCAGTGCCTTCCCGATCAGAGTCTTTTTCCAATGGCAACTCCGAGTCTGTGCATCCCGCCCTGCAGAGACCAGCGGAGCCACAGGTAGCAACAGCCAGCTTTGCTGTGGTTGAGGAGACTCATGCAACGGCTCGCTGAGCCACAGGCCTACTGTCATATCACAGTTTAGTTTGTCACCACATTGAAAAAGAGGAGAGATGAGCAGGAGTGACTTTAGACTAAAAGAAGGCATACACTCAGTTGATAGGGAAATATTTTTTTCCTTTTTCTTTTTTTTGAGATTTTTGTGTACTCATTAAGAGTATCTAGAGTGAGTGATTTCTTCTAACTTTTTGCCTGCCCTAACTCGGCTGTTAAGTGCCTCCTTTTTCTAATACAAAGATCTTTTAGTTTAATTTTTAGAGAACTGGGATTATAAATACATAGAGGGAGAGCCAAAAATTTTCTCTGAAGTATTTTAAAAGTAAGTGCTCTACTGCGTGATCCCTGGCTCTTGGCCAGTCCTATGAATGGGCCTTAGATGATGCCCCTGAAATTCCATGCAAAATGTCTTTAATTGTTTAAATGTGTATTTTTTGTGGGAGTGTGGGGGATGACCTTTTATCAGATTCTCACGAGGTTCAAGTTCCAAAAAAGTTTAGATCTAGCGGATTAGGTGTGAATTTCTCTGATATAAACCATGGAAAAGGCTGTGACCTCTCCTTGGGTCTGCTGCAGCATTCTAGCCTTGGCTAGGTGAGGGGAACTGTTGGGCTGATGCTGTGTGGCTGGAGCAGAACCCACAGTGCTGTCCATAGAGGAGAGCAGGCATTGAAGATTACGGCTAAAGATCTTAGAGATCCTTCAAACGCCAATTCCTACTCTCTTGCTGAAAGTTACTGACTTTTAGACATTTTCCCACTTGCCACTCTGTAATCCAGAATATTAGGAACAAGTTCTTATGCTTGAGTTTATTTTTCACTGGGGTTTGCATGTGTGGGAGACAAAAGTTTATGTTCTTGTGGCAGGAAACTGGGATCTGCAGGATGGAGGAGTTTGAAAAAAAAAAGCCCGGGCACAGTGGCACACACCTGAAATCCTAGCACTTTGGGAGGCCAAGGCAGGTGGATCACCTGAGGTCAGGAGTTTGAGACCAACTTGGCCAACATGGCGAAACCCCATCTCTACTAAAAATACAAAAATCAGCCGGGCGAGGTAGCGGGCACCTGTAATCCCAGCTACTCAGGAGGCTGAGGCAGGCGAATAGTTTGAACCCAGAAGGTGGAGGTTGCAGCTTGCATTGAGCTGAGATAGTGCCACTGCATGCCAGCCTGGGTGACAGAGTGAGACTCCATCTTAAAAAAAAAAAGAAAGAATAGCTAGGACTGAGGCCAGGGGTATGTGAGGGTGAGTGAGCATTTCCATGGGCCCAGCAGTTTCTTGAGTCCCAGGAGAGCTAACAGAGGGGCAGCTCCAGAGAGGAGGGGATAGAAAGGAAAGAGGAAAGCAGGAGAGGGTAAATGGACACAATTAAAAAGGGAAGAGAAGAGAGACTACTAGAATAGGTCTGAGGACTCGTGTTCTTTAACAACTTTACACTGCTTGAAGATCAGAGGATAAAAGTTTTCACACTGCAAATTAAACTTGCCGTAAATGGAGAATCTTTATTTGGCCACTAATAGTTTAGAAAATAGGAGTTTCTGAATTATCTATACTAAATTTTGCATTTGTTATGAATTTGTGTAGTACCTAGAAAGAGTCTCCCATTTCCTTCTCCCGTTCATTCTTTGGGGGAAACTTTTCTCGTGTAGGGCTCTATTTTAAAAGCTCATTTTTTATTATAATTTCAGGTAATACTTTGAATTACATGCTTTACCTCTGAAAATCTTAAACATTTTAGAAGTCTGGGATTATACCAATATCTGGTATTATACAAATCTCTCATCTGTATATTGTAGAAATCATACACCAGAACTAATTTCACATCTTGTATTTGGAAAGGTTGAACAAATTGATTTAGTATTTTCAGTTTTTGTCAAGTATATTGATGTAATGGATATGCAGCCATCAGTTTTTCAGTTGCCATATTGAACAATTATTTTGGAACAGTAAAACATAATTTAATGAAAATATTTTATGGATTTTTTCAGAGATCATTTTCCCAATTTAGAAGCAACCAGATAAACTCAGTTGACAAGTAATCGTCATATTTTTGTAATTTCCCAAGTGGAAGGAATACTCCCAACAATAGTCAATTCAGGGAATCCATGGTACTGAATGTTTTTAAGGAAATCACAATTCTTTATTTTCATCACTAATATGAAAGTATATGGAGATATCTAGGTTGTGGGTGTTTGTAGACTTGGGAAAAATAAGAAAAATTGTTGGTATAGTTGAAAAATGAGCTGTTCTTGAGATATAGTCTGTCGAAACATGAGGGGTTTGTCTTTGCTCATTGAACGTGCCATTTTGTTACTGAGTCTGGTGTTAAATCTGACACTGCAGGTAATGTGAGGATGGCTAGGTAGGTTTGCACATTTGGCAGTGCCCTTTATCTGACGATTTTTCTGCCTGTCTCTGCCTTGTCAGTCTCTGCTTTGACATGGATGTGCATGCAACACATCGTACCCGCTTGGGGCTCTGAAAGCCTCTTTGTAAAAAAAACAAAAACAAAAAAAAAGTCTTCACATTAACTGCTATCTGTAATGTTTGTCTGGATATTACAAAGAGTTTTCCTTGTAAATGTACATTTGTTCTTTTCTACATACTGTGTTCCCAGACCACTTCTTCACTTTGAAGTGGAACTGTTTCACTGCGTGGCTGACCTAACACTGTACCACCCCGGTGTGTATTCTGCCTCTGCCAGTTCCTGCTTTGGATTTGGTATTGACCAGAAAAGCCAGTTTTATGCAGAACGCATTGAATGTTTTGTGTTTTGTTTTCTTGTAAGGTACAGTGGCCCCACCTGGCATCTGTCAAGAACAATGTTTCCCCTGTCTCGCGATCCCATTCCTTCAGTGACCCTTCTCCTCCCAAATTTGCACACCACCATCTTCGTTCTCAGGACCCATGTCCACCTTCCCGCAGTGAGGTGCTCGGTCAGAGCGCTGACTCTAAGTCAGAGACACCTGACCCTACCCAAAAGGCTTGGTCTAGATCAGACAGTGACGAGGTGCCTCCAAGGGTAAGGAGCAGAAAGACAGATGTGTGCTGCTTTTTTCGTTTTTGTTATTTTTTTTTAAGATGATTTATTTTAATTATGGGTATGCAACTTTACCAAGTTTAAAGGGGCATTGAAATTTCAAAGGGACTTCTTAATGGTGAGGATGAAGTTCCATAGTTAGACAGTTTTATTCAGCCAGTGGCCAGTTAGCATTTTATTGTTGTTAACTCTAAATAAGGCAGCAAAATGATGTAAGAGTAAGTCTACCAAGAATAGGCTTCTTAAACAAATTCATAATCTATTTTAGCAGTTTTTCTATATGTTTATGCAGAAGCTATGCAGTTTCGCAATACTAATGTCAAAGTTTTTAGAAAAGGTCTTATAAGAAAAATTTTATTTTCTTTTTAAATGTAGGGGATTTTGTTTTGTTTTTGTGTTTACATGTTAGTGAAATTAAACAAAAGAGCCAATGTCAATTTATTTTTCCTCATTTGGAATTTGCTTCCTCTGAATATTTTCTTGCTTCCTGCCAGTCTTTGCTTCCTGCCAATCCATTTATAGACCATTGTTTGGTTTCTTTGAGCTTATTTCCTGATTCTCACATTATCTCAGCAAATGCTTCGTATGTCCCTGCTACCAAGCTTCAGTCCAGACATCATTTAAATGTTACAGGAGCATAGAAAGGCTGTTTGTACTGGCTTCTTGGATGCCTGTGACTAAATTTTCTCTCCGATTGTATCAGTGTAGGACCAGGGAAGGAGTGGGGGTGGGGAGTGGAGGTGATAGGAAGGACTGCTTTTAAATATTAGGACTGCTTTAAAAATATATTTTGGTTGGGAAATATTTTTTTTTTCCTTCTCATGTTTTCAATGATTTAATTGCTATATTTTCTACTTAAAGGTTCCTGTGAGAACAACGTCTCGCTCCCCTGTTCTGTCCCGTCGAGATTCCCCACTGCAGGGCAGTGGGCAGCAGAATAGCCAGGCAGGACAGAGAAACTCCACCAGGTAAAAGACAAGTGCGCGCTGAGAACAGGCCTCCTGTGCAGTCTACCACAGCCTTACATGGTCTGTTTCATAAAAATGCTCTTCAACACAGAAGTTCTGGGGCAAGGAGATTATTCGTTAGGAAAAGCTGCCATAAAATCCATCAACGTGGATGGCATCAAGTTGGTGTGTAGTAAAAAGTGGGTTTGAATCCGGATGTGCATTAATATAGCAACTCTGAAATTTAAACTACTTTCCTCTGTATGAGTAAATGGAGCGAGCACCAAGGAAGGGGAGAAGTTCCAAGAGAACTGTGATCAGAGGGAGCTTTTCATCTAAGGGACATTGTAAGGCCTGTGGCATGAAACAGAACTCACAAACAGGTTACTGAAGAAGTCACTGGTTGACTGACAGTCTGCAGTAAGCAAGTGAATTAACCAAATAATACCCTTTTTAGGTTCTAGAGCTGCTCTGTCCAGTACAATTAGCTACAGAAATTTCCTTAAATTTAAATTAAAGTTTAAATTTAGTTAAAATGAAATACAGTGGGAACTTCATTCCATAGTGCACTGGGTATATTCATGAGCTCTATAGCCACATGTAGCTAGTGGCTATGATATTATCCAGCTCAAATAGAGAACATTTTCATCATAACAGAAAGCTTCATTGACCAGCACTATCACAGGGAAGAAAAGGTGATTATGTGGAATGTTTTATATCTTAATCATCACTGAACCTCTGAAGTTAGCCTTCTGCGCATGAAACCTTGGTCTGACTTGAAGTGTCAGATGGATGATGGCCCAAAAGCTGCACAGAGTCCTCAGCACTGCTAGTGGCAGGGGGACTGTGGTGTTCTTCTGTGACCAAGTCTGTGTCATTAATCCTTACCTAGCACATGTGTGCTTTAGGTTCGTCCATGGCAGGAAATCCATCCCAGTCCCTGCTTTCTGTACCATTTCTAACAGCCCAGACAAAGGACTATTCTTTGTAAGTGTCAGTTTTTGAGAACAGCAACAGGCAGGTGAGAGCAGCCGCCTAGAAACAGAATATAGTTTTGCGTGTAATTATACAAATACGGAGTGTTTTCCTAATGTTAAGAACTGACATGTAGCTGTGACGGAAATGGTGCTACTTCTACACTGAACAGTAGCATTATATCACACCTGATGATTTTAGATCTAATGGTAGGATACCATTTAGCATACAAACTAAAAATAGATGAGATAAAAATCCATGAATAATGCCATTTTATCTTTTGGTGAATTTAATGTTGAATGCTGTTTATAGACTGTTTTTCTCCTCCCTACATTTTGAAGACATTGGACGGACACACGATGGTACTGCATCTAGAGATGATGCATTAGCTGTTCTTTCTTCTTCTTTTCTCACAGCAGTATTGAGCCCAGGCTTCTGTGGGAGAGAGTGGAGAAGCTGGTGCCCAGACCTGGCAGTGGCAGCTCCTCAGGGTCCAGCAACTCAGGATCCCAGCCCGGGTCTCACCCTGGGTCTCAGAGTGGCTCCGGGGAACGCTTCAGAGTGAGATGTAGGCTGCTTTTCCTTTGCCTTTTCCCTGCTAATGTTTTGGGCTGTGATCCATATATTGGAAGTTTGTCTTAATCTGTGGTTTGCGTGTAGCCACACATCACAAAACAATGTTTTAGCATAGGTTGCCAGTGACAATAATAGTCATCCTGATTTTAATCATAAAGGAGCTAAATTTTGAGAGCTTTATATATACCTAGCACTGTGAGTGCTTTACAATTTAGTGGGATTAGCTAACTTTTCCAAAGTAATGGGCTAATGTGTGAGCTAGGATTTGAACCCATTTCTTTCGGTCTGGGCTGCAGAGCCTATACCGTCATCAGTATTGGTTATTTTAATGTACTCGTAATAGATGAGTGAATATTCCCTCTATTGTATTACTGACATACTGTGACAAGGTATACATTGTGAACACGTGTCAAAGTGAGTGTGATGATGGAGGGTTTAAGTAAAAGAGTCAGGAAGGCTGCTGGAGCCCTCCTTGGGCCCTCTCTGCTCTGTAGTTCATACCTGCATGTGGAGAGCCTGCCATGAATGGGCAGACAGGAGTGGGCGGGGCGGGCAGGGCAGCTTCGTTACACACATCCATATGTTGATATGTGTCCGTCCATCTTGTCCCTTTTAAACCCAATAGCGTCATCCAAGTCTGAAGGCTCTCCATCTCAGCGCCTGGACAACGCAGTGAAAAAACCTGAAGATAAAAAAGAAGTTTTCAGACCCCTCAAGCCTGCTGTAAGGATGGTGCAAAATCAGTTTTACTTACTTCAGACTTGAATGCGATCTTTCTATTAAAAATACGTGGTTGAGAGGCCTGCCGTCTCTTCTGCGAGGGCCCCTCACAGATTTGAGGAATTACAAGGAATGACCTAGACCCCAGACATATTTGTTCCCTTCCATTGGCGTCATCTGCTTTCCCTGCATAAAGTCTCAAGTGGGTGAAACTTTGTGTTCTGTTGTTCCAGCCCTACACTTGGTGTGCAGTCAGCCTTACAAAATAATGCAGAGCAAAGTATAGTTTTTATTTAATGAAACTTCCTTCTAAGGAAACTGATGTTTTTAAAAAAATACAAAAGAAAAGGTTTTTTATCTCTTTCTTGGCATTAACCTTTATTTATTCTGGTTCGGCATGTACAATACTGGCTTTTAGAGTAAGTTTTAAAAAATCACCTTCTTAAACTCACTGGTTGCCTACCTTCTGCTTTTCGGTACCTGGGGTGATAGTTGTGACTGCTTCTCACCCTTCTCTTTTAATCCCTCTGATGTTACCTGACCACGTAATTGTGCACACTTTGCGGAATTTTAAGCCTGTCAGAGTTTTCATTTCCTGCTTGAACTGATTTCTGTACTTCTCCCTCTCCCCTTCTTTCTCCCGTGCTTCCTTGTACTGTGCATTCCTCATCAACGGTGGCTTCTCGGACTCCACGAAACTGCGCTGTACCGAAGGGCGAAGTGGTAAGCGCCATCTCTGAAAAGTTCTGCCTCAGAGCAGCACTCCGACCGCCTGTCAGCTCAGCTTGTATTCAAGCTGCAGTCCTGCTCCTTCCTCAACTTGACTTCTTGTTCTTTTCTGGAATTTAAAAACCTTAAACTTTACTCCAGCTTTCTTAACATAACATTTGCTGTATTTATTGTTATTAAATGTAGCTTTTTTGAGTAACTGTTTAAAAAGCTGCAGCTATCACCACGAAATACTAATAGCAAGACTCAGAATCCAATCACTGTAATTTCAGAGGCTCAAGCTCAAAGAAAAGAAACATTCTTAACTGTGGGAAAAAAAAAAAAAAAGAAAACCAAGTTGGAACTGCTAGAAATAAAAGACAAAAAGAGTTACATAGACTGCCTTTTAAAAAAGTGGTTACTTTTAAATAAAATTCCCCCCAAAAAAGATGAATTTGGAGTTTTATATGAAAATGTGGAGTATAAATAGTAATCACTCTTGAAAATTATATTTGGTGGGTTGATTGAATCTTAAGAATATCTCAGTGTGGAAGAGTAAAGGGAAACGAAGCCTTTGGAACAAATTCCACTACTGGTTTCTTTTCTTTCGGATATTCCCGTTCATAGGTGGTGTTACAGGGGGATGTGGTAAGGCTTGAAGGAGGGCGATAGGGATGCCCATAGCCTCCTGTCCCCACACTCAGGGTTGCCACTGTCTCTTCATGTGTCTCGGACTTGTCCATGAATGTGGCAGGTCGTGAACAGTCAGTGAAGTGAGATGTAAATGGCATCCTGGTGCTCACTTCACTCCTCTTTCATTGTAATGTAGGTTTGAAGTTTTTGGTTTTTTTGTTTTTCAGTATGAGGTAAAATTCTAGATCAGCAAACGTATATACACAGATCCTTGAGCTTTGGAGTGAAGACACATGCCTATATGACAAAGTCTTCTTTAAAGGGGGCAGTCCAGAAAGCAAGCCTCTAGCTAAATAGGCCTGATTTAAAGAGTTGTGGGAGGGAAGTTATGTTTCTACAACTTTTATTAATAAAATATTAAACCTAAAATGTTGATTATAGTAAAATATTAATATTTATTAAAATTTCATAAATATCCTACAAATAGTAAATATAAACATTTATTAAATATTAAACCTTACAGCGTTGAAGTTTTTAATAATAAAAGTTGAAGTATAATAAAAATGTATCCCTCAAAACCTTTTATATCAGGCCCGTTTAACTAGAGCGTTGCTAAGTCTAAAGAAGACTGTCATATGGGGACATGTCCTTACAACAAAGCCCAAGGGTCTGTGTATATACGTTTGTTGATCTAGAATTTTACCTCATATTAAAAAAACAATAATACTGTGAGCTTGTCATAAGCAGATCATTGTGTTTTTTTAATTGTCATGGGATTTGAACTGTATATGACATCTTTGACTTTTTTTTTGGTGTCTTCTGTTTTTTTTTTTATCTCTCTCTTGACTTTCTTTGGTCTTTTCTATCAAAAGCCGTAGGCGCTCACTTTCTTATGAAACTGGGTAACTACTCTACAAAAGTCTTACAAAACTGACATTGTGGCAATTTATGGTTAAAGAACTTCTCATCTTCTCCTGTCCCTGCCCCCCCCCCCCCCCCGCCGTTGCCTTGCTTAGCTCTCTCTTTTCTGTCCTTTGCTTTAGGATCTGACCGCACTGGCCAAAGAGCTTCGAGCGGTGGAAGATGTACGGCCCCCTCACAAAGTGACGGACTACTCCTCATCCAGTGAGGAGTCGGGGACGACGGATGAGGAGGACGACGATGTGGAGCAGGAAGGGGCCGACGAGTCCACCTCGGGACCGGAGGACACCAGAGCAGCGTCAGTCCCCGGCCTCTTTTAGAGCGGATGAGAGTATTCTCTCAGAGCCTGCTTTCCGCTGGGACCCAGTTGTTCCTAGACTATTGCGTGACCCCATGAGCACTTACTACGTAGTTCTCATGGATTCAGCAGCAGGCCGCCTTGTGTTTCCCCTTCTCTTCGTTGGTGTGTGCGTGTGTCAGTGCTTCCCCCAGCACCCCAGCGTGTACTTTATTTTTTCCTTTTGATTGGAGGATATATGACCAGGGGAAATTTCAGTTTGATATAACTACTTTAATTAGCTGTAATTACTCATTCTAAGTTTTTGCTCAGAAACAAATGGCACTGGAAGGAAGTTCTTTGTTAAAGGGAGAAAGCTAAGCGTTGCTTTTTTGGAGGAGGCTTTATACCGGTAGCCTCCTCTCATGTTTTGATTTTGAGAAGGCAAAAAGCCTCAACAGGATCTCCTTGACTCCAGAGATTAAAGCCTTTCACTTCTGGATTTTGTCTCTGTAGGTCATCTCTGAATTTGAGCAATGGTGAAACGGAATCTGTGAAAACCATGATTGTCCATGATGATGTAGAAAGTGAGCCGGCCATGACCCCATCCAAGGAGGGCACTCTAATCGTCCGCCAGGTACCCGTGTCTTCTCTGTCGTCAGAGGCTGAGCTTCTCCTGTGGTCATTAACCCACTTGCTCATTCACTCACTCATGCTGTTTCTCCATCATCATCTGTTTTCATGTTAACAAGTCCCAGAGGGTCAAGTGTCAAGTGTCGGGGGCTAGGGAGGCAGGTGTGTACTGCATGCCCGGAAGGTAGCGAGTAGTCTCCACCCCACATCGCTGCTCCTCTGCATGTCTGCGGCAGCCCTCATTCAAGCACCGCGCTGAGTCTCACAGTCTATGTCTGAGTGGGAGAGAAGCCACAGGGAGTCCTTAAACAGGCTCACAGAGTGAGGAAGCAGGTCTGGAGTCTGGCAGAGTAACCACCTTGGCTCTGCAGAGCACGCTTGGCTCTGAGTGTCTGCAGTGCCACAGCAGTCGTGGGTGAGGCAGGCAGGGTGAGCCTCATCACAGGCCCAGAGACTCGGAGAGCAGAAGGGTTTGGGAGGTTCTATGTTCCAAAATGTTAGTTTTCTCACTTGTTGAATAATTAAATGTGTGCCACCCAGATATGCTCAGTTTGGATCACTAAGCTTTTTAACTGTCTGTTCGTTTCTTAGCTTAGACTTAATTAAAGTGATGCGCTTCTCATTTAAATAGAACAGGGCACCTATTTAGTATTTTGGACTTTGCCCTAATTGTGTTTCATGCTATGGCAATGCATTCGGATGGAAAGTAGGAAGAACATGGAAAAGACCAGGATTCAGAGAATCCACAGGTACTTTCTGGAGCTTTACAAAGAAAGATTTAAAAAGAAAAAAAAAAAAGGATACTGGTTTTGTTAACAGAAGCTAGCGCAACAGATAAACCAGATTAAACAAACACTCACTGCTCGAGTCGTGCAGCCACCAGATGAGGTACTTTGAATTCTGTTGGCTCCAGTTAGGCATTTGGTGAGGAAGTGTGAGCAGTTCAGGCTAATGTCTTTGGTTTTTCCTTGGTAATTTAGCAGAATTTATAAGTCACACAGCACCTTAAACAAAGCAGTTATCAATAGGGCCATAGGCAATTTTAGCTGCGCTTGAGCGAGACAAGTGTGCCTGTTTTTTCTACAGAGTACAGTTGACCAAAAGCGTGCCAGCCATCATGAGAGCAATGGCTTTGCCGGTCGCATTCACCTCTTGCCAGATCTCTTACAGCAAAGCCATTCCTCCTCCACTTCCTCCACCTCCTCCTCCCCATCCTCCAGCCAGCCGACACCCACCATGTCCCCACAGACACCCCAGGACAAGCTCACTGCTAATGAGGTATGTCTCGCACCACAGCTGGCTGCTTTCCTGGGGTTAGACCAGCACTGCCTAGGAGTTAGTTTGCAAAGGAGACCTTTCCAACACCCTCACCCCTTCCCTTCCCACCCTGCTTTCTCTGTCACCTGCCCTTCTCCCCAGTCCCAAGTAACATGTTTCAGATCTGCATATAAACCCCTTAACCCTAGATCAGCTCCCCAAAACTTGCCAGTTCACTGTTTACTGTTCTCTAGATAAGTATAGTTGCATGGCTTTCTTTATCTAGTTTTTTTTTTTTTTTAAAGTCTAAATAAAATGCTGTATCCTCAGATCCATATTATGTATTTGGCATGAAATTCTTATAGTCATTTGTGGAATCTGCCTTTTTCATTCTTTTTATCCAATAAATAAAATATAGGAAGATTCGGTTCAGCAGGTTTGGCCTTACCTGAACAAACTTGTTATCCTGTACAGGAATCTCTTTCAAACAGAGCTGGTGTTTTTTTTTTTTTTTTTTTTTCCCTTGTTTTGGGGGTGGCTGTTGGTTGATTACTCTTACTTGTTTTCACCAACCCTGTTAAGGATTTCATTCTTTGAAATTTATAATCACTCAGTGGTTTAGAAGCCAAATTATTTTTGGGAAACCTAGAAAAAATTAGGATGTTAAGCAAGAAGGGCAAAGGTTTGAGCTTGTTTTTAATTTAAAATTTTGTGTGGGAAATCTGTGTGCTCCTTTGAAGGCTTGGTTGTGGTGCTCGGTCTGGGTGTTAGCTCAGTCTGGGTGATTCTTTGCTCTTTGAACAGAGTTATACTCCAGGTGTAGTGACGTAGCCCACTCGAGCACCTGTTCTGAATTAAACAAGTGATTTGATTCCACAGAAGATTTGGTTTCAGTGCCTTTATCTACCAGTTGAGGGAGGTTAGAAAGAATCAGAAAAATCCTCTCCTCCTGAGGAGCAGGGGCAAGTCAACCGCTTCCTAGACAGGCTTGGCATCGACTGGATTGGCCACTGACTCATGGGACAGGGAGGGAAGCTGCCAGGGGACAGATGTTCAGGTGGGAAGCTTCGGGGAGGGCATGGGCTCTAGGACATGGCGACTCTCGGTGTCCGTGGAGGGGTCCAATGGTACAGGACAAAAGCACTTGATCAGACATGTTCCTTTTTTCTCCTGAGATCTATTTCCCACCTACACTCACATTCCTCCTTATATTTATATTTTAAACTTTGCTCCATTTCGCTCTAATGTGCAGTATTTTACTATAACCCTTAACTCACTAAACCGGCAAATTTATTTTTCTGTTTGTTTTGTTTTTAATTGTCATTACATTTCCACTTAACAATTTGTTTCACTTTCTTTGTGTTTTTTTGTCTTAAGTTACATTATTAACCAAAACACTAGTGCTCCTAAAAGATCAAAAGGATGTGCCTTCTTTTGTCATTTGCACTTCACTAATGAGTCCCCATTTGGTATGGGTTTAATGGTGATGCACCTAAAACAACAGTAGCCAAAGCTTCTGTAGCTTTCTGGCAAGAGGCTCAATTTAAAATAACTAGAATTATTAATAATTGCCAATATTCCAGCGTAGATTATTTGGACTCTTTTGGGTAGGAGAATAAATTCAGAAATTGGTGAATTGAGATAGACATTTCAGACCTCCTTTAGGAGTTTCATTTTAAGTATTTACTTAATTTGTTTTAAAGCTAGGCACACGAAGTATAGATTTCATTGGTAGCTTGCAGCACCGCTTTGTAAATGAGCAATGTCTCTGGTAACGGCTCCTGCAGTGGTTCCAGGTAAAGCAGCCTGCCCTGAGGGTTGCTATGCCATGTGGAAGCTCCCTGCAGAGTATTTTTTGGGGTAATGATGCAAGAGAAATAGAGCAAAGTATTGGGAAATAGTTAGTGCAACACAGAAGTGAATTGAAATGTATGTTTTCAATGTTCATTTTTAAAATGCCAGTTGTATTAATAACATTGAAATTTACATTGCAGACTCAGTCCGCTAGTAGCACACTCCAGAAACACAAATCTTCCTCCTCCTTTACACCTTTTATAGACCCCAGATTACTACAGATTTCTCCATCTAGTGGAACAACAGTGACTTCTGTGGGTAAGTACAGTAGCAACAAGAAAGCAGCTGACAAATGGGACTTTATCTTTGAGTTGCTCTTTTGGGTGGCTTAGGTGTAGCTGGTTGTTCACAGGGCACAGATCTCAGGTACAGAAACTTCCCATCCCAGTTGGATTGCCTTATTTGCAATGTTCTGCAGAGTCCATTTCCTTTTTCCATATATATTGCTTACAGATTTCTTCTCTTTGACAAAGTGTTGGTTATACCACATGAATATTTACTTGAAGTGTATTGGGGGAGGGAGGCAGGCATGGTGTGTGTGTGTACAGAAAATAATTTCAAATGTATTGTGTTTCAGTGGGATTTTCCTGTGATGGGATGAGACCGGAAGCCATAAGGCAAGATCCTACCCGGAAAGGCTCAGTGGTCAATGTGAATCCTACCAACACTAGGCCACAGAGTGATACCCCAGAGATTCGTAAATACAAGAAGAGGTTTAACTCTGAAATTCTGTGTGCTGCCTTATGGGGTAGGTGTCTAGCCACTACTCTAACACTTTCATTTTTATTCTGAGCAGTGGCTGGTCTTTTAGAGAAGTACTGCTTTTGAATAGTTTGTGGATAGATAGGATGGAAGATTTCTGTGATGCCCATCTCCTGTCATATGCAGAGTGGTATATTAGCAGACTAGTGTGGCACATGTATATGCTTGACTCATTTTAACTGTCAAATATTGGAATGATTAATCTCCATTTTATTTTTATTGAACAAATTTTTAGTAGTAGTTTTGTTACATGGATATATTGTATAGCGGTGAAGTCTGGGTTTTTAGTGTAACCATCAACCCAAATAGTGCACATTGTACTCAGTAGTGTACATTGTACCCCTGAACCCTGAGATTGACTGTTTTCATTATAAAATTCAATCATATCTAGCAGTGGAAATGTTGGAGAAGTATATTTATAAAAACTTATTGCAACATGCAACCCAGTATTTTTCATTTTTCATGCTCGTAATTTCCAAGGACTTTACAGTGACTATATTCTTTTGACTGTTAGCATTCAGTACTTTATAAAATTATACAACTGTACAATTATACAATTTGGAAATATATCATGGAGAAGTAGAAGATAGAGTGTAAGTGCCACAATACCTTCAGCTTTTGTGTTTTGAAAAGTCTTCAGCTTATCTTGTTACTCCCTCATTCCTTCTCACTGTAAAATCTTGAGATTGATGTTTATATGTTTATTTTTAGAAATGCAAATCATATTTCTTCACAAGGCTCATATTTTGTGTAGTTATTACCAGATTCTTGACATAGGAGTTTAAAAAAATCTACTTGATACTGAAGATTGACCAGGAAAATAACAAAATATTGTATAAAATAGAACCTTTGAAATGGTATCTATCTGGCAGCAGTTCTATCAATAAGTATGTGTCTTTTCTGCCAATAATTTCTGAGCTGTTTTAGATCAATTTGCCTAGATATATGCAGGGAAAACACTAAGCGTAATATTCAAATAAGTTCCACCTTGACAAGGATATAGTAAGGGCAGAATGGCCAACCTCAAAAATAAAATTATATGAAAATGAATCACATATTACATATTTAAATATTTTTCTTTAAGTTGTACAGCATTTTTTTTTTTTTTTTTTAATCTCTAAGTATTAAATCAGTATCCGCACAAGCATTGCTTGGGTAGATACTCTCGTCCAAATGTTGGGATAATCCCAACTCGGTCAACTCGGTAAGGACCAGGCACGAACTGAGAGACAGCTCGAGGAGGGTTGTTCTCTCAGTGCCGTTACAATTATTTATTTCAGATTATCTGGAAATAGGGTGTGGGCATACGTGTATGTGCCATGATATTCTTCCCCCTCGCTCCCTCTACACAAATACTTTATTCCTTGTCTTGATGAATTTATGACGGAGGAAATCAGCACGCACATATATGTATCCAATTCCCTAGGAATGTAAGGTCGTCTGTGCTACATGTTACAAAGGTGATTCTGACAGTGAAGGTTCTAGATCAAGGAACAAGAGCATTTGGGGAAATACATGAATGATCAATAGGGAGAAGTGCTTTGGCCAAGCGATAATCAGTCTTAGATGCCAGCCCAAGGCCTTTGGGACAATTTCTACATGGAATGTGCAGTTTTTGAAGGTAGTCATAACTTGAGTATTTTAGCAAGATTAGGATTGATGGGATGTACATCATGAGAAAGTAGAGAGAAGCTCCTTTAACAACCTTAATTAAGGTCTCTATCCATCACTTATAAGGCTGCCAAAGCCTGAACAATTGTGAGAGCAGAGGAAAGGGAAAGTAGGCACAGAGAAGAGGTTTTCTCTGGCTCTAGTGGCCAGTTTTAGCTAGTTTTGCAGAGCAGCTTGGGAGCTGTTGATAGAAATGGCAAAAGTTAAGCTAGTTTCAGTAGAGATCTGCAGTGGGCGGAAAGCAGGAGGCAAAGTAGCAGCATGGAATTAGGAGTCACTGGTTTTGAGGCACGCTCACACACAGGTGTGTGTGTTACCACATGGACAGCAGTGGAAATGTCTCCACTGAAGAAGCAGAGGGCAGGTGTGGAAACAAGGAAGGAGATGTCACATCACAGCAGAAGAGTGTGGAGACTATGACAGTGCAAGGTTAGAGAAATAGGGTGAGTCACGTGGGGAGGTCACAATATTTTGATAGTCCTAAGAAATGGAGGGACAAGAGAACTGAGTGCAGTTGTTTTTTGATGATGGTGGAAAGTAATCTTTAAGAAAAGCTTAAACGTGAGTGATGGAAACCAAATCATAAGCTGTTAAGGATTTGAAGGCTGTATGTGGCCCATTCCAGAGATTTGCCAATGAAAGATAAGGAAGCACAAAGAGATCATGGTATCAGGTGAAGGTTTGTTCAAATGTGTGATGTGGCTAATTAGACATAGAATCTGTAAAGACAGGAAATAATCAGCATATAACATTCTCAAGGAACTGAGGAAGAATTAGAAACTAATGGATTATTAAGGAAATTGATGGCATAAGGGTTTCTTTTTCTTTCCCTTATCCTTTCTTATGTTTAAATATGTCAGCATCATTGCTACATGGTGATGTGTTACAGGATTGGTTACTTTAACTATTTGACCTCTGACTATTTTAAGGATTTCTTCTTCTGGGTGAATTAAGGAAGCTGCACTTTTTTCCAAATAGATGATGTTATCCTTTCTATGCAACCTGGGGATTTGCCAAGCATAGCATAAAATTGAGGTCTTTCTGTGTCCCTGAAACAGGAGTGAATTTGCTAGTGGGTACAGAGAGTGGCCTGATGCTGCTGGACAGAAGTGGCCAAGGGAAGGTCTATCCTCTGATCAACCGAAGACGATTTCAACAAATGGACGTACTTGAGGGCTTGAATGTCTTGGTGACAATATCTGGTGAGTGTTTGTTTTGTAAAGCAGAATATGTGACACCATCTTAACACTATTGTTAACAGTCTTGTAGCTTTACAAGGTTGTTTTACAATATCGTAGCTTTACACACTAAACAATTTTAACAGTATTGTAGCTTTACACACTAAACTTCAGTTAGCTCATTCTCTGATGTACTGGTTAAATAAGATACAGCCGCATCGAGGCTTGACAATAATGTGAGCTGAAGATGTATTCAAATGCAACACACACACGCACATTTGATCTGTGGCTCCTCCAGAAGCAGTCGTGAGAAGCATACGAATGTGTGCTTTCTCACTGGCATCTCTCACTGCTCTCTCTGCCCAGTTGCTTGTTAGATTTCATTTGCCTTATCCAATATGTAGGTCTCTGGCCATTCCTTTCCACCAGACTTTTTTTTTTGTTGTTTTTGTTTTTTGAGACAGAGTCTCGCTCTGTTGCCTGGCTGGAGTGCAGTGGCATGATCTCGGCTCACTGCAACCTCTACCTCCTTGGGTTCAAGCATTTCTCCTGCCTCAGCCTCCTGAGTAGCTGGGACTACAGGCGAGCGCCACCATGCCCGGCTAATTTTTGTACATGCAAAAGGAAGTGTTCTTTGCCATTATTGTAAAAGTATAGTATTATGGTTTTTATTATGTGAATTAAGACAATTATGTCTCTTTTTTATTTTTATTTATTTATTTTGAGACAGAGTCTCGCTCTGTCGCCCAGGCTGGAGTGCATTGGCGCGATCTCCTCTCACAGCAAGCTCCGCCTCCCGGGTTCACGCCATTCTCCTGCCTCAGCCTCCCAAGTAGCTGGGACTACAGGCGCCGCCACCATGCCCGGCTAATTTTTTGTATTTTTAGTAGACACTGGGTTTCACCATGTTAGCCAGGATGGTCTCGATCTCCTGACCTCGTGATCTGCCCACCTTGGCCTCCCGAAGTGCTGGGATTACAGGCGCGAGCCATCGCGCCAGGCCAATTACGTCTCTTTTTAAGAAGAACATTTTTCTTAGTGTAAATTATATAATATAAACTACTACAGGAAAACAACTAGGAGAAATAAAAAGTAAAATCATCCAGAGATCATATCTTTTAACTTTTGTAAGTTTTTAACTTCCAGTGTTTTAAGCATACATCACACTCACTATACACTTAAGGGAAAAAATCTGCATAAAAATGGTTATACAATATTTCAAACATACAGGGGATTATAGGAATAATGGCACCCACGTACTAACTGTAACTCGCTGGTCTGAACAGTTGTCACAGTACACTGTTGTACATACGGTCAGCATCCCTGTTCCTCCCCCATCTACCTGTCCATGGCAACCTCTGTCCTAAAGTTCGGGTGTATCCCATCCAGGCCTGATTGTCCAAAACATGTAGTCTGCTTTCTCCATGCCATTGAACATCCTTCCATGGTCTCCATTGTATATGACCACAGGCTGTTTCCTTGCATAGATGTATTAAAATGTATTTACTTATCTTCTCTTGTTGCCCTTTAGGTATATTCCCTTTTTTTTTCTCTCATGTGAACATTTTTCACAGATATACTGGTAGCTGACTTAACCTTTAGGCACATACCATGTTGTATAGATCATAATTTCCTAATAATTAGTGTTATTGCTTGGTCAAGTGGTATGCAAAATTATAAGACTTTAAATGGGTCGTGTATACCACCACTTACAGTCACTTATGATATTATAATCACTTGTGAAACCACCAATGATTTTGATTTAATTATCTGCTTGTTAGTACAAGCTTGTTATGTAACATATTTGCTTGTAGTTATTTTATTTCTCATATATGCTTTTGGTTGTTAAGTAAAGGAGTTTCTTGAAGTGCAAAACTTTCACTGTTTATACTTAAATGAGGAAACAGCCATTTAAAACTAGAGTGCTGATGGCTGGTAGTTATTTAAGTTGGAGAAAACAAATCTGCATTTAGTGATCCAGTGAAACTAGACAGTTCATGGTGATCAGTAATCAGCTGAGACCAGGTGCGGCGGCCTATGCCTGTAATCCAAGCAATTTGAGAGGCCAGAGCAGGATGATTGCTTTTGCCTGGGATGTTGAGGCTGCAGTAAGCTGTGATAGCACCACTGCACTCCAGCCTGGGTGACAGAGTGAGATCCTGTCTCAAAACAAAAAAATTAACCATTATAATCAGCTGATACCAGTAATCATTTTTTGTTCTACTTTTCTGTTGTTTTTCCTTCCTTATTAGCTTTTAATGGTTTTCACAATCATAAATGTAGTACATGTCAATTGTAGGAAGCTTCAAAAATAGAAAAAACTTAGGAAGACTAAAACAAAATGTCACCCCAATCTCAGAGGTAACTCTTATTAACATTTTGTATTTGCCTCTCCTCTTTTCTGTAAATATATCTCACAAGATGGAAACAAAACATTATATGTAAAAACTATGTGGTCTTTTTCTTCTCTTAACGTGTATTGAATATTTTCCTGCAAACAATTCCCCAAAAGTTAAAAGGATTATACTGAAGTATGACATACACAGAAAGTACAGATAAGCATACAGCTCAATGAGCTGTCACACGCAGAATCCATCCAGATAGCCCCCCCCGCTGAAGACATGGAACATTGCCAGCACCCCAAAACTGCCCTGTGAAGCCACCCAGGGACTGCCCCTAGAGGCAAGCACTGTCCAGACTTCAAACACGTTAGGTCGATTTTGCCTTCATTGAACTAATTTTATCTAATGATAAAACAGTATGTGTTCTAGTGACGGCTATTTCTTTCTTTTTTTTTTTTTTTGGAGACTTTTTCTAAACGTTTTTTCAGTATTTTGCAGTTTAGCCATTCTGAAGGGGTGTAGGAATTAATAGGCGTATCTCACTTTAATTTGCAGTTTCCTAATGACATATGGTACATCTCCTATGTATATCTTCTGGTGAAGTATTTCTTCTATCTTTAATCCATTTTGTAATTGGATTGTTGCTCTCTTATTGTTGAGTTTTATTTTGGATTTAAGTCTCTTGTCAGGTATGTGTTTTGCAGATACTTTCTGCCCGTTTGTGGCTTGCTTGTTGATGCTGTGGAATGATGTCTTTTACAGAAGTGAAGTTTTTAATTTTAGTGAAGTCCAACTTACTAGCTTTTTCTTTCATGAATTGTGCTTCTGGTATTGTGTCTAAAAAGTCATTGCCAAATCCAGAGTCCCTTGGATTTTCTTCTGTTACCTTCTAGAATCTGCTTTATAGCTTTGTGTTTCACATTTAGGTTCACGATCCATTTTGAAGTGATTTTTGTGAAAGTTTCAAAGTTTGTGTAGTGGTGTTTTCATCTGCATGTGGGTATCTAGTTGTTGCAGCAGCATTCGTTAAAAACACCAGCCTTTCTCCATTGAATTGCTTGTGCTCCTTTGTCAAAGATTACTACTATATTTGTATAGTTCTGTTTCTTGTTTTTTTTTTCTGAGACGGAGTCTTGATCTGTCATCCAGGCTGGAGTGCATTGGCGAGATCTCGGCTCACCACAACCTCCGCCTCCCAGGTTCAAGCAATTCTCCTGCCTCAGCCTCCCGAGTAGCTGGGATTACAGGCACGTGCCACCATGCCTGGCTAATTTTTGTATCTTTAGTAGAGACGGGGTTTCACCATGTTGATCAGGCTGGTCTCGAACTCCTGACCTTGTGATCTGCCCACCTCTGCCCCACAAAGTACTGGGATTACAGGCGTGAGCCACCACGCCCGGTGTATAGTTCTGTTTCTGGGCTCTATTTTTTTTTTTCCCCCTATTTATGCATTTGTCTCTTTTGGTGCTAATAACCACACTGTGTTGATTACTGTAGATATATAGTAAATCTTGAAGTCAGGTACTGTCAGTCTTTCAACTTTGTTCTTTTTTAATATTGTGTTGACTGTGTTGGGTCTTTTGCCTCTAGAGTCAGCTTATTGATGTATACATAATAACTTGGGATTTTGATTAGAATTGCATTGACTCTATGGATCAAGTTGGGAAGAACTGATGTCTTGACAATATTGAATCTTCTATCCATTAAGATGGAAATCTCTCTCCATTTATTTAGTTCTTTGATTTCATCAGAATTTGCAGTTTTCCTTAAATAAAACTAGCAAAGGACTAATTTTAGTAGATTTATTGTACCCGTTTTGTTTTTTTAAGTACTAGTATAAATGGTGTTGTAGTCTTAATTTTAAATTCTAATTATTTGTTGCTGGTAAACAGGAAATACAGGAAAGTGACTGACCTTTTTATTTTATTAGGCTTGTATCCTGCAACCTTGCTATAATTCTTGCTATAATCACTTGTTAGTTCCAGCAGGGTTTTTGGTTGGTTTTGGATTTTTTTTTTATTGGTTCTTCAGGATTTTCTATGTAGACAATCATGTCTTCTGTGAAGAAAGACAGTTTTATTTCTTCCTTCCCCGTCCTTGTACCTTTTATTTCCCTTTTCTTTCTAATTGCATTAGCTAGGACACCCAATATAACATTTACTAGGAGTTATGAGAAGGGAAATCTTTCCCTTGTTGTCTATCTTACAAGGAAAGCATCTAGTTTCTTGCCGTTATGTATGACATTAGCAGTAAGGTTTTATGGTTGATGTTTCTTATCAAATTGAGGCAGTTCCCCCTCTATTCCTATTTTCCTGAAAGTTTTTATTATGAGTAGGTGTTGGGTTTTGTCAAATGTTTTTCTGCATCTGTTGATATGATCATGTGATTTTTCTTCTTAGCTTGTTGATGTGAGTGTGTGGCTGGCTTTGCCCACCATCGTTTTTGTTGTTGTTGCTTGTAGCTGTAGTTTCTCTTTGTTCCTTTAGATGACTACACCACAATGTATTTACTCCTTTTACTATCCATTCAGAGATTAATGTTTCCTGTTTGGTGCTATTAGGAACCATGCTGCTATGAACATTCCTGTTGGTGTACTTGGGGGCATACACATACACTTACATTAGGAGAGAGATTACCAGATCATATGTAAGATATGCACATGTCCTATTTTAATAGATAATGCCAAACTTACAAAAGCAGTTCTAACAGTTTACACACTAGTTTCTGAAGTTTCTAGTTGTTCCACACCTTGCCTACCTTTGATATTGTCAGTCTTTTAAATTTTAGACATTCCAATAGGTGTATGAAATCATCTCATTATTGTTTTAACACACGTTATTACTGTTGAGAACGAGCATCTTTTTGTGTGTCTCTGAGATCACTTCTTTTGTGAAGTTCCGGTTACAGTGGCACGTCCAGTTTTTCTATTGGGTTATCTCCTGTTCTATTTGATTTGTAGGAGTTCTTTACATATTCTGGATATGACTCCCTTGTCAGCTGTTTCTGTGGTACACATCTCCAACTTGCGACTTGCCTTTCCCTAGGTTTCAGTGCTGGCATTAAGTGATTGATTTAACCCTTGTGCTCATCTGTCAAATGGGAGATAGTAGCTACTCCAGAGGGTTTTGAGAATCAGATGGCATAGTACATGTGAAAGCATCTTATAAGCTTTTTTGGTCGTATTATGCAGATATTTGTATTACTTTGTAGCTTATTGATACTACCCATCTACATAAGTGTGAATTTATTGTTTTTTAAAAACTTTCCCTCTAGCCCAGGCCTGTACCCAGTGATAATTCTGTAGGGATTTCAAAAGTCCATCTGAGCAACTTGAATTGAGTTTCTAGTAAAACTTGGATACAAAGGGGTTTTCTTGGTGGAAATGATATTTACTCTTTGTAGAAGTTTCTTTGGGTTACTATTGTTATTAATGATGAGACCTACTTCTGAATATGCATGTAAAATATTTATATTTGTTTTGCTAGGCAAAAAGGATAAGTTACGTGTCTACTATTTGTCCTGGTTAAGAAATAAAATACTTCACAATGATCCAGAAGTTGAGAAGAAGCAGGGATGGACAACCGTAGGGGATTTGGAAGGATGTGTACATTATAAAGTTGGTAAGTTCTAGAAGCGTCATATTTTGTTTTTCCAGAGTTTAATTAGAGTTCAGTTTGAATTTTAAACTTTAAATTTTCACAGGTTTTTTTGAAGTTTGTAGTAATAGACTTGTTTCTGAAACACGTGGATCATTTCTGGTGTTCTGTTTCCAAGGCACATTCTAATCTTGAAGTCTCATCTAGACATTGTCTTATTCCCTCTGTGCACCTATATGCATAACAGAGTCGATCCTTGCAACTCACTCCACCCTCACTCTCCCCTACGCTGTTCGTCTTGTGAGAGTCTTTCCACTCCTCCTCTTTGACAGTCCACATTCCTGTCCTCTGTAAGATGTGGTTCACAGTAACCTCTTTAAGGAAATCTTGCCAGTGGAAGCCAGCTGACTTGAGCCCTTTTTTACATGCCAGGCTTATTCTCCACTTAGAGGTCTGAAGGTCCTTGGCAGGCACTGGTAAGAGTGTTTGAGAGTTTGACTCTAGGGCTTATGGCCTGCTGTTTTGACTTAAGTGCCTGTGCACAGCTACTGTGCTCCTCACTAGTAAGTGAGCCCAGCTGGCCAGTCAGTGTTTTATGGCAATTGTATTGTTTTTTTCCCCTTGGCATGAAGCAGTGATTCTCACGAAGTAAAATCTCACAGGAACAAAACCAAAAGTTTTTTTTTTTTTTTTTTTTTTTTTTTTTGAGATGGAGTTTTGCTCTTGTTGCCCAATCTGGAGTGCAATGGTGCGATCTCAGCTCACTGTAACCTCCACCTCCCGGGTTCAAGCAATTCTCCTGCCTCAGCCTCCTGAGTAGTTGGGATTACAGGCACCTGCCACCATGCCCAGCTAATCAAAACAATTTTTTTTTTTTTTTAACATATGAAAAAACCAAAATACTGGGACCAATGTTAGACGTACGGGAGAAAAAAAATGGACCTTAGCTAAATTAAAGTTTTATGGGAAAGATGTGATATTCTTAACAGAATTTAAACAGGAAGTTTTTCTATATACCTAAAACTGATTAATGTTACGGACCTATTGAATGTTGCTGCTTGCGTGTTTTCTTTTTTCTGTGTTTATGAAAATCTGTGCATCGTCAGTTCCTCTGTTCGCAGGGATGTTGTCATGCTTGGCGCTGCCTTGTTCGTGTAGTCTGTCTGCACCCCTCAGCTCATTGGTTAATGGCGATTGTGGGAGCTGCCTCAGTATCTCAAATGATTCTGATGCTACGGGAAGGCAGAACTATCTGCTTAGGATAGATTTTAGGATTCGAATTTTCTGTGTTTATGGGAAGTATTTTTATTTGTTGAGGTATAACTAAAATCATCTAAGGCTAAATGTAATGAAACAGCTCATAACAGATGAGCTGTACATGAATAGATTATCCTACAGGGGGAGCAAGAGGCAGACGTGTTAAAAGTCTGTTGGGCTTCTCCCCAGAACAAAACAGTAGTCTTTTTGCCTGTCGCTCGTACAGAATGAATCATAAGTATTTTCAGGAAATAAGTGTGGATAATATCATTCATTCGTTGTCATTATGGTTGCCACCAGGAACAGGGAGCTATTTAAATGTATATTAAATTAATAAAATTTAAGTAAACCTTAAAATTTAGCTCCTCAATATCATTAGTACATTCTGAGTGTCCAGTAGCCCCATGTGTGTAGTGGTTATCATATTAGCAGTACAGATACAGAGAATTTCTGTCATCACAGATGTCTATGAAACAGTACTGGTTTTGTCAAACTCTTAGAAACCTTTGTGTCTTGATGTTTGTTTATTGATTTATTTAAACAGTGGTAATATGTAGAGTTTAACAAGGGGAGTTATCAGTTAACAAGTTCTCTTTCATGCGCAAAGAAGGAATCAAGTAGTGGTGTGATGTCAGCTTGTAAAGAAATCATGGATCTGCACATTAGTAAGTCACATGTACTCAGGGACCCCTGGGAGTACCTGTTTTGTCAGAGTTGCCTGGCAGTAAGGGCACCAAAAAAGCTATGGGAAGGAGGCAGTTTTACTACTTCTGTAGATCAGGAAATGGTCTTAGTGATACTTGGACTTGTGTACAGATACTTCTGTTGGTAGAATCCAAGACTCCTGAATATTTTAGTATAAGCCTTTTTTCTTCCTCAGTCTGTGTGAGCCCCATGCAGGACTACGGAAAGTTGTAATGAGTACCTCAGTCTCTCTGTATGTTTCAGAAGTCTCTTGGCTGATTAATCATGTTGTTATTCATTTGGAGTGATACTGAGCCCTTGAAGGCTTTAGGGTGGTATACCTGGCATTGTCCTTGATTATAAAATATCTTAGAATCTTTTATAAGAAGATGGGGATCATTAGTGAAAGTACTCATTGATGGTCAAACTACATTAAAGAGTTGGAAAAGGAAACTATGAGGTGTGATCTGTCTCTGAATTTTTCCCCTGCTTGTTTGGATGAATAAATAGAAGGCATTTTATAAAGTTTGCAGAAGACAACTAAAACAGTTTAGAGGGCTATGTTGATACTGACTGTGCTTCTCTTGCTTTTTTATTTACTGTTTTTCAGTAAAATATGAAAGAATCAAATTTCTGGTGATTGCTTTGAAAAGTTCTGTGGAAGTCTATGCGTGGGCACCAAAGCCATATCACAAATTTATGGCCTTTAAGGTAACAACATCAAGTGAATTTAAAAATAGTATTGGCCATGCAAACTACAACCAAGAGTCAGGGAATACGTTTAAAAAGTCTGAACTGTTACAATTGCTAATATAAAAGCTATGTGCTAATATAGCATATAACTTTATCATAAGAAACCATTTCTAATGTAATGTAATGTAATGTAATAAGCTTAGTTAATCTGCTTTCTAAGCCCACAGAGTGAGAAGGAGAGAGAGATAAATGTTGGGTAGACACTATAATTGATGTGGCAGTGTGGTAACAGAGGAAGAGAGAACAGCACTTCCACCCTCCAGTTAAAAAGGTGACCTTCACCTGAGTCATGGATGCGTATAAAGATTTAGATGTGTTTTTGATAACAAAACTGTGTCTGACGGGCAGTTTTAAGGTATATCTGTTCATAAAATACTAATTAAAAATTAAATTACAAAAATTCTAATGACAAAGAACATTATTATATAGTAAGTGAAAAACGTTAAAATATTTCATATGATTCCATTTTTGTTTAAATAAAAAACTCAGGTATAACATCTGAACTAATGTATAAATTAAGATGTTTTTGCCATTTTGCATGTATACAGTTTTAGGAAAGTAAATGATTGAGTACTTAGTGTTAAAATTAGGACTGTGTTCATTTGAGAGTTCACAAAAATACTCATGGAATTTACAAATATACCTCACATTGCCTGGTGATTGGCTTTTTAGAATAGTTTTTTTATTTTATTGAAGGGGTAAGTTTAATTTATTTGGAAAATTTATATTTTTGGATTGCCTAGTGCTTGATTTCCCAGTGAAGCAGGATAAATGGAGTTACAATATTTGCTTAAAAAATAAATCCAAGTGTTACTGAATAAAGATAATTGGTTATACAGTTATATTATCTTCTGAGATCTGACCTTGATATTCTTTATATACCAGGTACTGTGCTGGTTGGTTTTATACATATTACCTGATTTAAAGCTGCTGTTTCATTATCCTAGTCTTGTGAACTGTGGGTAGTGATGTCAATGAAAAACGGAGACACCAGCACAATCCAAGCTGTTGTAGCACATACAGCCTTTTCTTTCACCATTTTAGTCTAGTCAGAAAATTAGAGATCTTTATAGTTCAGATAGAGGTTAGTATGGTAATAGTGATAACAGTTTTCAGTGTGTGACTCCTACAACTCCTGTCGCTCTCCTGTTGAATAGTTGAGTACTATGCTTAGGAAAGTCCTCGCTATTTTACTGTGCATGCTTTTCTGATCAAGGCAGCCAACAGCACAGTACGTGACAGAGCAGACATCTTGGTCTGGATAGGGAGATTTGGAACATAACTTCTGGCAGAAGTGTCTTCCAGATGCTAATTAACAGGCAAAAACATAATAAAGACTAATTTTGTAGAGTATTGTTGATTACGGTTGTTGCCAGTGTGGCTCAGTAATTGAATAACTGAGTATGTTGGGTCTTCTCTAGTTTGATCTGTTAGAAGTAAGTTCTCCTTCATCTTCTCATTTCTCTCTTATGGCTTCTTTGCAGTCATTTGGAGAATTGGTACATAAGCCATTACTGGTGGATCTCACTGTTGAGGAAGGCCAGAGGTTGAAAGTGATCTATGGATCCTGTGCTGGATTCCATGCTGTTGATGTGGATTCCGGATCAGTCTATGACATTTATCTACCAACACACGTAAGAAAGAACCCACACTCTATGGTTGGTTGACTGGCTTCATTTTGTTTTGACTTTTTTCTTTACTCTGCTTAGTGAACTAACACAAGCAGGGATTCTTCATTTCCCCTCGGTGTGGGGGTGAGTATTTAAATGATAAGCAATTTTCAGTAGCTCCAAGCTCTTAGACAAGTGGACATCCACCTTCCTGGCTCTGTGGAGCCCTTGTGAAAACCTCTTAGCCCTTGCTTTGACTAACATGGGATGGATTTGGGGCAGTTGCTGACAGACCAGAACATCCCTGGGTTGGGAGTGGTTCTCAGTTGGAGCCCAGCATCCAAATATGTTTCATGGGCCTCAGGAGATTTGAGTCAGTAGAGTATATTACTGGGAAAGAGCAGACTTGGGGATATATATTGCATGAGTATTCTCAAATGTTATCTAATTGCTGTATTTATCACCAGGGATATGGTACCAGTGCATTCACCAAGAGTCTTACTGAGCACTTTCACAGGGCTGGAAATAACCACAGACATTCTTCCCTGTACTTTGTTCCTGTTCTCTAGATCCAGTGTAGCATCAAACCCCATGCAATCATCATCCTCCCCAATACAGATGGAATGGAGCTTTTGGTGTGCTATGAAGATGAGGGGGTTTATGTAAACACATATGGAAGGATCACCAAGGATGTAGTTCTACAGTGGGGAGAGATGCCTACGTCAGTAGGTATGGAGAACTTGGGGAAAGGCAGCATTTGTGAACGTGGAGCCGTGTCTGAGACTGCATGTATTTATCATGCTGATTTTATATGTCCTTCAGACCTTTTGGCTACTATTGAACAGAGTGGTTGGCAGTAGATGGTGGAAAGTTAGATTGTAGGCCGTGGAAATAGTCATAGGTCTATTTTACAACAAAATCCAAGAAATTGTTTTATACTTTAAAAATCCTGTTATCATAATCTCTCATTTAATCCTTAAAACATCCAGAGGAAAATTGGACATGTTTTTGTTGACCACTTCGTAAAGGGAGACAGAGAATTGGTAACGAATTGGTAAAGGGAGACGGAGAGAAAGGGAAATTATTTGCACTTGAGAATGGTAGAGCCGTAACTACAAACAGCCTTGTGCATAGTTTTCTAGTTTGCATTCAGTAATAAAGACTGATACTTAACATTTTCGTGGGTTTCTATTCCAAAACTATTTTGGTTTTATTGTAGTTAAGTCACTGTCTCTGATCACTCATCGTTTCTCTTCCCTGCCTTCTCTCGTGATTGGATTGATAAAAATCTGTGCACTAAACTCTAAACTCAGTGGGTCATTTTTCTAGATAGGCATGAAAGGCCTAAGGAATATGAGATAGATCAACCACTGATGCAAGTCACTCCTTCACAGAATGGACAAGGTGGTTACAAAGGCAGAGTTCCTTGAAAACAAATATTTAAATGCTAGGCATTTAAATTTTAAATTTTAAAAAGATTTAAAAGTATAAAAATACTTGTTTATCACATAAGCAACATCTTTTCAGGGCTGTTTCCTTATCTTTAATGGTTTGTAATTTTTCCCTCCCTAAAAGCATATATTCGATCCAATCAGACAATGGGCTGGGGAGAGAAGGCCATAGAGATCCGATCTGTGGAAACTGGTCACTTGGATGGTGTGTTCATGCACAAAAGGGCTCAAAGACTAAAATTCTTGTGTGAACGCAATGACAAGGTAATGGTTTTCTTATGAATTCTTTTTAGTTACTCTGTCTTTTAGTAATGGCTTCTTTTGCGTGGAGTTTGATTATTAATTTCCTTGGAGTTTTGATAAAAATAATCAAGGAACTTTTTAAATATTGCTTTTTAGTCATGTCTGTGAGGATTGGGGTATGTTTTGCTTTTTGCTCTGAGGGGACAGAGATATTTTTCCTCTGTATAAATTAACATATTTGGGTTTTGCTTTGTATATACATTTTTAACTCTATTAGATGACCTGTCTAGGCTATAACAATTAGTTTAGAGATAGGGAAGATAAAAGCTGCCAGTTGGGTTGATTGAAATTCTTTTGTGAGTGGAAGGAACCACCATGTGATTTGCCTACATCGAAAGGTTCCTCTCGCCTGGTGTGTGTCAAGAAGATGCCCCTTGTTAGTCTGTGAGTGGTGAAATTGCTTCCTAGGTTTGCATGTCGGAAATGTTTCACAGTAAAAATCATCTTATGCAGACATAACATAACTTCCTGCACCTAGACCCCATGGCATCACACCCCCTTTGCTTTTCAGAACTGGCCGTATCACTCCAGGGACGATTCCTGTGGCAACTTCCTCCCAGGAAGTCCCTTTCAAATTGGCTTTGGAGTGGAGCAGGTAGATGGCCAGGGGCGTTGACCCATCCCTGTTTGCCAAGGGAGAAGGCATCGAGGGTGGAACTGATTTGTACTAAGCCTACCCTTTCTTTCTTCTGTCCAGTCAGACCTTTGAAACTTGGCTCTGAAGAACGTTTCCACCTTTTGCCTCACACTGACAGACTAGCAGTCAACCGAGTTCTCAGATTTAAACATTTAATCATTTAATGTGAGAAAGAAGAAACTACACATCTGTCCTTGGCAGCTGGTCCTGCTTGCCCCATACATCCCAAACACAAAGTCGCTTCACCCCCACCCACTGTGTTCTGCAACCCTACAACTCAGTTTCAAGTGGAGTTTTGCCTATAGATGATCTCCCAAATCTGTGACCTTGAAAATTTCTATAGCTCAGCCCTAATCCAGGATTGTGTCAGCTTGCTGGCTTATACTTTCCTAAGTATATTTACCGTAGCTGCAACTATAACATTCTTTGAATTTCAGGCACTTAAATATTTTTATCATACATGTCATGTCCTTTAAGATGTATTAACAAAAGGCACAAAAATTCTATTACTTTATGGATTATATGAAGAATTAATACATTTTTGGTTGATTTTTAAAAAGAAATTAGTTGTTAAAGAATCTTCCCTGTTGCTCATTGTGTTTTTTAAAGATATTTATTTATTAGAAGTGTTAACTGTAGAAGTGGAAAGAAATAACTCTTCAGAAACATCCATTTTTTTCTTTGTGTTCTCACAATATGCCAATGTATAAGGAGTTAGTAGTAACAAGCCTGAGTTGTAATAAAAATTGGCTGCAGATGGTCACTCCTTACAAAGTATAAATTGATAATTGCCCCAGAGGTTTTTGTGGGTTGTTCGTTTGTTTGTTTTGATGATGGAGTCTGGCTCTGTTGCCCGTGCTGGAGTGCAGTGGTGTGATCTCGGCTCACTACAGCCTCTGCCTCAGCCTCCTGAGTAGCTGGGATTACAGGCGCCCACAACCATGCCCAGCTAATTTTTTGTATTTTTAATAGAGACGGGGTTTCACCATCTTGGCCAGGCTGGTCTTAAACTCCTGACCTCATGATGATCCACCTGTCTTGGCCTCCCAAAGTGCTGGGATTATAGGCGTGAGCCACCGTGCCCGACCTTTTTCTTTTTTTTTTTTTTTTTTTTTGAGATAGAGTTTCCCTCTGTTGCCCAGGCTGGAGTGCAGTGGTGTGATCTTGGCTCACTGCAGCCTCCATCTCCTGGGTTCAAGTGATTGAATCTCATGCTTCAGCCTCCTGAGTAGCTGGGATTACAGGTGTGTGCAACCACATGGTGTTTTTAGTAGAGACGGGTTTCGTCATGTTGGCCAGACCGGTCTGGAACTCCTGGCCTCTCAAAGTGCTGGGATTACAGGTGTGAGTCACTGCGCCCGGCCTCAGTTTCTTTTGAAAAGGCTCTTTGGGGGTCTCAGCTTCTCATACAGTGTTGAGGATGATGGTGGCTTAGATTCCCTGGCTGGAAGTGCTGCATGACCATGGTAACCATGCCCTCTCTTTTCTGGCTTTTGCAGGTGTTCTTTGCCTCTGTTCGGTCTGGTGGCAGCAGTCAGGTTTATTTCATGACCTTAGGCAGGACTTCTCTTCTGAGCTGGTAGAAGCAGTGTGATCCAGGGATTACTGGCCTCCAGAGTCTTCAAGATCCTGAGAACTTGGAATTCCTTGTAACTGGAGCTTGGAGCTGCACCGAGGGCAACCAGGACAGCTGTGTGTGCAGACCTCACGTGTTGGGTTCTCTCCCCTCCTTCCTGTTCCTGTTTTACCAGTTTATCCCCCTTTTTTTTTTTTTTTTTTTTTTTTTTTTTTCTTACTCCAAAATAAATCAAGGCTGCAATGCAGCTGGTGCTGTTCAGATTCTACCATCAGGTGCTATAAGTGTTTGGGATTGAGCATCATACTGGAAAGCAAACACCTTTCCTCCAGCTCCAGAATTCCTTGTCTCTGAATGACTCTGTCTTGTGGGTGTCTGACAGTGGCGACCATGAACACGCCGTTGGTTTTATTGGCAGTGGGCACAAGGAGGTGAGAAGTGGTGGTAAAAGGAGCAGAGTGCTGAAGCAGAGAGCAGATTTAATATAGTAACATTAACAGTGTATTTAATTGACATTTCTTTTTTGTAATGTGACAATATGTGGACAAAGAAGAAGATGCAGGTTTAAGAAGTTAATATTTATAAAATGTGAAAGACACAGTTACTAGGATAACTTTTTTGTGGGTGGGGCTTGGGAGATGGGGTGGGGTGGGTTAAGGGGTCCCATTTTGTTTCTTTGGATTTGGGGTGGGGGGTCCTGGCCAAGAACTCAGTCATTTTTCTGTGTACCAGGTTGCCTAAATCATGTGCAGATGGTTCTAAAAAAAAAAAAAAAAAAAGGAAAAAAAAAGAAAAAGAAAACGTGTGCATTTTGTATAATGGCCAGAACTTTGTTGTGTGACAGTATTAGCACTGCCTCAGTTAAAGGTTTAATTTTTGTTTAAACCTAGAAGTGCAACCACAGTTTTACCACAGTCTGCACTTGCAGAAAAAAGAAAAAAGTTCAAACCACATGTTTATTTTTTTTGCCTACCTCATTGTTCTTAATGCATTGAGAGGTGATTTAGTTTATATGTTTTTGGAAGAAACCATTAATGTTTAATTTAATCTTAATACCAAAATGACCAGATTGAAGTTTGACTTTTATTGTCACAAGTCAGCAGGCACAAGAACTGTCCATGAAGATGGGAAATAGCCTTAAGGCTGATGCAATTTCCTTCCAAGTTTAGAAAGCAGAATGCTTTGTTTTCACCAGATTCAGCATTAAAGGTTGATGGGGCAACTGCAGTCCGTGACACAAGAGATCTCATTGTTCTCGATGTGGGGGGCGGGTGGTAGCAGACAGGTGGTCACATTAGAATAGTCACACAAACTGTTCAGTGTTGCAGGAACCTTTTCTCGTGGGCGGGGGAGTTTCCCTTTTCTAAAAATGCAATGCACTAAAACTATTTTAAGAATGTAGTGAATTCTGCTTATTCATGAAGTCGGCATCTTCTGTGTTTTAGGTGTAATGCCGAAGTCCTGGCTTTTCTCGTTTCCTCACTTGCTCTCTCGTTCTCTGTTTTTTAAACCGATTTTACTTTATGAATATATTCATGACATTTGTAATAAATGTCTTGAGAAAGAATCTGTTTCATGGCTTCATGGTCATCACTCAGCTCCCCTAAGGATGTTACCGTCTCAGAAAAAGACCAGGGCTCCGTGTCCCAGTCCTGCCATCTGACTTTCCTCTTGTCAAGTTCCCAGGGGAAATACTGCATTATGGCTGCTTTAACCTCCGTCATCAAAAGAAACTTGCTGTTTTTTAGGCTTAATCTTCTTCCTTTGTGGTTACTTTTCCTGTATATTGTGAAAATGGGGGATTTTCCCTCTGCCCCCACCCACCTAAACACAGCAGCCATTTGTACCTGTCTGCTTCCCATCCCACTTGGCACCCACTCTGGCCCCTGTCAGTTTCCTCTTCCTGGTTCAGTATTTTTGAAAAAGGCCCTCCTTTCAGCTACAAACATCTGGTAAGACAAGTACATCCACCCATGAATGCAGACACAGCAGCTGGTGCTTTTGTGTATACCCATAAAGACAAGATCAGCTGAGAAGCCTTACTTTTTGGGGAGGGAAAAGAAGATGGAAATGGATGTTTCATTTGTACAAATTTGGAGCAGTGCTGAAGGCCAAAGCTGCCTACTGGTTTGTAATTAACCTAGAGAAGGTTGAAAAGTTAATGCTACCTTTAAAGGGATTTGAGGTAGGCTGGACTCCATCACCACAGGACTTTAGTTAGAATTAAATTCCTGCTTGTGATTTATATCCACGTTTAGGCTTTTCATAAGATGAAACATGCCACAGTGAACACACTTGTGTACATATCAAGAGAAGAAGGAAAGGCACAGGTGACTGTGGCTCCTTCCCTGGCTTTAGAGAACAGTAAAAGGTGGGCAGATGTCCTTGAAGAAATGCTCCATGTCTGATGTTAAGTGGGAGAAGGCAGAGAACAAAGAATGTGGCATGGTGGTCTTACATTATCCAAAGACTTGAAGCTCCACATCTGTAAGTCAAGGGTTACACAAAAAAATGCAAATGGTGTTTCACTGGAATTACCAAGTGCTTAGAACTTGAGGAAAACTGGCTTTCCCATAGGTGGTGAAGGGGGTCTGAGCTCACACCGAGCTGTGCTTGCCCTGCTTGTGTAGCTCCAGGCACCCCGTGGGCACTCTCTTGGCGTTTGTGGTGAACTGAATGGAATCCATTGTTGGACTTAAGTTACTGAAATTGGACCACCCTTTGTCCCTCTAGGCGGGGACTTCCTGGTCTGTGCTTTACTTGCCTTTTTTCCTTCCCTTCTTAGCCTCACCCCCTTGTAAACCAGATTGAGTTGCTATAGCTTGATGCAGGTACCCAGTGAAGTTTCTGCATAAAAGGTTGGGAGTCGTTGAAATGTTTAGATTCTTTTAGGCAAGGAGTTATTTTCCCCCCTTTTACAGGGTAGTGACTTCTCCACAGAAGTGCCAATATGGCAAAATTACACGAGAAAACAGTATTGTAATGATTCCATTACATACGGAACATTGAACTGTTATAGGAGTGCTCTTCCAAACAAAACAAAAATATCTCTAGGTTTAGTCAAAGCTTTCGTAAGTAATAACCTTTCTGTATTGAAATCAGAGTAACCCTTTCTGTATTGAGTGCAGTGTTTTTACTTTTTTCTCATGCACATGTTAATGTTGGAGAAAATGTTTACAAAAATGGTTTTGTTACACTAATGCGCACCACATATTTATGGTTTATTTTAAGTGATTTTTTTTATGGGTTATTTAGGTTTTCGTCTTAGTTGTAGCACACTTACCCTAATTTTGCCAATTATTAATTTGCTAAATAGTAATACAAATGACAAACTGCATTAAATTGACTAATTATAAAAGCTGCAAAGCAGACTGGTGGCAAGTACACAGCCCTTTTTTTTTGCAGTGCTAACTTGTCTACTGTGTATTATGAAAATTACTGTTGTCCCCCCAACCTTTTTTCCTTAAATAAAGTAAAAATGACATCTATGTTATGTGACACAAGTTTCAAATATGTTCTGAGCCTTCAGAATGTTTCCTTCCTGTGAGGATCCACATTTGATGCACACACCTGCCTCCCCTGAGCTGCCCGCACCAGAGCAAGCTCCTGTATTCTGCTATCTCCGACGACAGGGGCTTGCCCAAGGCCAGGCGTAGATGATGAAAGTAGCCAATGTTTGTCTAAAGATCTCAGAGATGAAGTGGGAGATGAACCTCCATCACCATGTTCCTGAAGCCAATATGGAGTAAAGCTGGTCTTTAAGAAAGAAAGAATGTTGCATTTTTGCAGTTTTGAATTTGGATCAAAAAGTGAAACAGCATGATGTCTGTAATAGGACAATTAAAGTAGCTCTTTCTCAGTTTGGCGCATAAATACTAACTTGGGTCTAATCATTGGAGCCCCTTCAATGTAAGGTCGTTGTGTCTAAGCGCTGGGGTTCTCCATCAACCCCCCGTAGGCCTGGTAGGCGTGATCCCCGTCAGGCAGATCTGGGGCCACGCTCTCAGTATGGGCACCTCGCCTTAGTCTGCGGGGCTGCCCGTGCTACATCGTCATCAATTTAATAAAGCACTTCATGCTTCATCCTAGAAACATGTTCTCTCTCTAATGTGAGAATAAAATTATAAGTACTTAGGCTGTCAGGTGAGTGAGATTTTTCTTTTCCTACTTGATGTGTTGCAGTTGGTGGATGATTAGCAGTAAAAATCTGGTGTTTTCTTGGGACCATCATGCATTCCTCCTGTTCCAACTTTCTCCTCCGTTGGTTGAGATTTCACTTGAAGGAAGCAACGGGGGATCCAATCAAGACCCTTCAGCCAACGCCAGCTCTGTGTCTTGGCATCACATTAAAATATACAGTAAAATTGGTGCATTCTCTGGCATCTACTTAAAAAAAAATGCTTCATTTAAGCAGAAGTAGCTAATGTATTCTGTAAAGTAAAATGGCTAAGAGATCAAAACTTGGGGAAAGTAGTTACTTTATTTTCTTATGGGAGAAGATAGGCACTCAAATATTACATTCCCATACCTAGTCTACCTCTCCCTTAGGTAAATCAGACTGTATCCATGTGTCACATTCTTCCTGAAACAGTCTCATCTTTGCCTCTGCCCTGCCCAGCCTCTTTGCTGTTATCTTGTTCACTGTTTCCTAAAGGATACATAGCCTGCATATTAGCCGAGATTGTTTCTCAAATTTAACCACTTATTACATTCAAACTCTGCTCCTCCTGAACTACCAAACATTATAATGGCTGGCACAGAGCAGGCACTCAGATTCCCTGGCCATTTGCTTAAGTAGCATGAAATAACTCCTATGTTAACCCAAGGGAAAACCAGCCCACCTGTGCAGTGTGGGACGGGCGAGGAAGTGCTCTGGTCTTCCTTCCTTCCAGGTCTTCCTTCCAGGAAGTGCTGGGGAAGTGCAGCCCCAGGAGGGCTGCAGAGCTCCACTGCACTGGGCATGGGCCATCCTGTCCCTTAACAGGTTCCTGGTACTCACCAGTCCCTCCAGCTGGAGCTTGGGTGCTGGAATAACACTGCAAGGATCCTTGCTTGTTTCTAAGAAATTTGGAGTAGATATTCCACCACAAAATGACTTTTAAAAAATCCTCATTTCTATTTTGGCCAAAAGTGTAGAATTCAGGCAGGTTGCTCACCAGAGTTCTGTGGAGGGATACGGACAGAGCTGACCAAGGCCGTTCTGCTCTTATCCTGATATAACTATAGCTTTTAGAAACTAATATTAAGCAGCTGTTCCACGATAAATGGTATTGAGTACTTCCTGATTCTTTGACAGCTTTATCGAGATAAAATTCACATACTGCGTAAGTCACCCATTTAAGTAGACAATTGGGTGGCCTGTAGTCTATTCAGAGGTGTGCGTCCATCACTGACAATTTTCACGTGTTTTTACTACCCCAAGATGATGCTCCATACCCCTTTGCTGTTATCCTCCAATCGCTGCCTCCCTCCACCCCCTCCTTATCCCCCCACCCCGCCCAAGCTTTAGGTAGTCCCTAATCTACTTTCTCTCGCTATAGATTGGCTGTTCTGGACATTTACAGAAATGGAGCCAGTCACCGTGTGGTCTTTTGTGACTGGCTCCTATCACGTAGCTCATCCATGTTGTAGCACGTGTCAGCACTTCCAGAAGCGGCTGCAGAAATGGGTTCCTGCTAGGTGTGTTTACTGTTGAAGCTGCTAGAAACCCAGGGATCCCTTTTCCACAGATGATCTTGATGCCCAAAATGTAGGCTTCTCATAGGTCAGATGCAGCAAGTCAACTTTTGGAATGGGGCACCGTTCTGGAAGCACAGTCGCCAACATAGGCCCCGCCTGCTGTGGAGAGCAGACCTCCAACCCGGAAAGGTTGGGGCCTATGGGCTTGCTTTGTGTCCAAATCCTAAATCAGGGTTCTGAGGTTGTCCCCTCTAACTTATGTGGGCTCACCCCTGGGAAGGGACATAAGAACTGGCTTTGCTGAGCTGGGATCCTTTTCTGATCCTTGGCAAACGCATGGAGCTGTCACATTTCACAAGGGCCTTGTCCGGTTGGCACCTCGTGTATCTTACTGGCATAGAGCACATTTCCTCAGTGCTGCCTTCTGGAAGGCCTAACTGTCCCCAGACTGTCATTTGCAGGATACCTCATTGAGTAAGTGTAGACACTAGTAAACTTCTGGGAACTTGGTGGCGTTCTGGTCAATCTAGCAAGTTGAGCAACCACTGTCTGCTGAGGACAGTCTTAAGGTATGGCGCTCCTTTGGGGAAATGCAGAATTAACTAAAGGGGTTACTTGGAACAGTGCTTAGTATATTCTAGATGTTAAAGCAGAGCCTTTAGTAACTGTGTGTGTAAAAGAGACTTACACTTTTAAGCTACAACAGCGTGCAGCTGCCAGAATAGCTGGTGTGAGTTTGAACTGCATGGATTTTGAAGTGAGAGATGACGCCCTTTGGTGGTCAGGTCACACTTAGATACAGGGACTACCTGTAGCCTCATCGCAGGAGAGGGACACAGCAGGACAAGGCTTCAAATTAGATCCAATGAAGATGGGTCAAAAGAAAATAATTGGTAGAAGCAAGCATATATTCCTTTAAAAATCAAAATATCATTCAACCCTGATCAATCTATCCTGCTTTGGGTAATTAACAATGACAGCAATGGGATTTTATGTATACTTGCTCTGCACCAGGCCCTGTGTGCTAAGGACTTTTACACTTGTCTTCTCAGCCTGTAGAAGAGGAGACTCAGGCTACCCATTTGTTAATTTAAATTTATTTGTAGAGACACAAATGCAGGAGCCAGAAGATAGAGCTAGGAAAAGTGGATTGAATGCCCCGGGAGCAGAATCAGCCTCCACTATGAAAGGGACGATCAGAACTGCCTAAGGGGATGAAACGGGCAACTTCAATGGCTTGCCCGGTCCAGGCCCCTTGAGGCAGGCTTTGTTGGGGTGTAGAGGACCTGAAGTCCCTTCAGCCCCCTCTAGCATCACCTACCTTGAGGTAAGTTGGGACTAGATATGTGTAAGGGTGGTGTATTAGTCCATTTTCACGCTGCTGATAAAGACGTAGCCAACACTGGATAATTTTATAAAGAAAAAGGTTTAATGGACTCACAGTTCCACGTGGCTGGGGAGCCCTCACAATCATGGCGGAAGACAAGAGACAATGAGAGCTGAGTGAAAAGGAAAACTCCTTATGAAACTATCGAAGCTCATGAGACTTACTACCGTGAGAACAGTATGAGGGAAACCGCCCCCGTGATTCAGTTATCTCTCACCAGGTCCCTCCCTCAACACGTGGGAATTGTGAGAGCTACAACTCAAGATGAAATTTGGGTGAGGACACAGCCAAACCATATCAGGTGGTGAGCAATTCATGAGCCACTTCTGAACTCATCAAATGGCTTCAGTATTCTTTGTAAACGTGAATGGACTCTGGATGCAGCAGAAATGGGGTCTGTCTAGAGGTGGAGGCTTCTTCAGGACACATGGATGTCTCATTGGCCCAGTTAGCGCACTCTCTGGGACCTCTGTGTGGAAGGCTGGCTACACTTGATTCTTTATTCCCGGTACTATTGCTGACTCCCCAGTGAACCCTACAACAACCAGGTTAGGAAATCTACAGGCTTTCCCACCACAGGAAATAGGCGGATCCTGCTAGATCAGAGATCAGGCAGTTCTGTCTGGCCCTGGAGAGCTTTCTACAAGTAGTCAACCCTTCAGTTGGCAAAAGAGAAATGGCTGCATGTACCCAGACCCAAATCTGTTAGATTTCCAACGTTAAGCACAGAGTGTCCATATATTTTTTTAATCAGAAAACATTTTTAGAATGCCATTATCTAAGGCCAATTAAAGAAATAGTGTGGATTTTAAGTTTGAATTCAAAGGTCAAGCAATGAGAATAGATATTGCCTGGCTGTTGGAGTTTATAGATAATATTTGTCAATGTCTGTATCTAATTTTTAGTTGTCTAATATGGAGAAAATTCTGATGCCCACAGGTATATGATCACAATTTTTAAACAGTTAACCTTGCAAGATAAGAACCTAAAAAGTATATGAAGTCAGTGATTTCGGGATACTTTTTAATGATTCAGTAGTAGCAGAAGCTTTTCAGACAGGCACAAAAATAAGTCAACCTGTCAACGTCATTTTTCTTGATCTCTGGTGTAAGATAAAATATATAATTGTGCACATTTTGAAAAAGTAATATATTTCACAGTATATTCCAAAATATTACTTCAACATGTAATCAGTATTATAAAGAATAGGATAATTGACTTTTTTCATTTCATACTAAATTTTGAAACCTGGTACGTATCTTACACAGCATTTCCCAGGTCCCACTAGCTGCATTGAGCACTCAGTAGCCACACAAGGCTACCATTTTGCCAGAGGCTTTATATACATTATTATGGTTACTTCCTGCTGGAGTCTTTGGAGGTAAATATTGTCTACATCTTACTGAGCTCCTAAAAATTACA